GTTGTAGGTCATTCCAAGTTCCTCTATGTGGGTCGCTGCCTCAGCAAGGCTTGATGAGTGGTGTGTAGGTCTGGGCCCAGGATCCAAACCGGTGAAGCCCAGGCCGCTGAAGCGGAGTGCACGAACTTAACCATTCAACCATGGGGCCACCCCCTCCTTTTGAATTCTTACACTCTCCTTTTAAGTATTCATATTGGACTGCTTTAAGATATAAGGTATACTTACTTAACAGGTTAAGTTCTGCGCCAGAACAAACTACATTTTTTTTAAAAAACTATCTTCCTCTCCTGCCACCTCTTCTTAGCCTTTCTAATCTCTGAAAGTTGAGTATTTCTCGGGCTGCTCACCTATGCCTAAATAAGCTCTCGTGTGCCCTGGAACAGAATGAGAAACTTGGCTTTGTCATAGTAGAGACTCTCTCTTTATTAAGAAATAGGTAATCTTAGAATTTTAGTGCTGAAGAGGATTTTAGAGGTCTAATCCAGTTCATAGATCACAATTGTTAGTTTTTTTTTCCCTACAGAGCAAAGTGGCTCAATATGGTTAAATAATTTGCCCGGTGTCTTAAAGAAGTAGTTTTACCCTTAATCTAAGTCTACCGACTTCCAAATTCAAGGGCTCTGTGCTCTCTCCTAGAGGTTAGATGTAAAATAAAATGTATCCACAGGCAGCTTATCATGATGAAGATCAGATGCTGGTGTCTTTTAGAACTGCTTGGGATACTGGTTCTGCCACTTCACGTATATGTATGATTTTGAGTGAGAAAACTACCGAGACTGTTTCCTTATCTTCAAACATTTTCAGGTTCAAGGAACATGTTTGATGCCTAATATTTAGTGTATAAAAATAAACATTTTCTCAGAGGGACACATTTAAGATCTTCCTTCCAATGAATAGGACTAATTTTCATATGATCAGATTCTGAAACTGTTCTATTAATTTTTATAGATGTCCTTTTGGGAAAATTACTATTTGCCAACTTTATTCTCAATGGTTACAGCACATCTGTAAAGACCTTCAAAAGCAAACTGTGAAGACAAGGAGTGGTTATCATATGGGATATTTCCGAACCCAATGACTTCAGAATCTGGTAGAGTAACTACAAGCATTCTACCTTATCTCACTTTTAAATAGTAAACTCCAGAGAAGGGCCACATTTCAAGAAATTGCCTTCACAAATATTTATTCCTTGTCTCAAATCTTTTCTGGAAAGAGATTGCTTATTTATTTATTTAAAGGTTCAGTTCAAGGAAGGCCACTTTCTCTTTAACCAGCATTCAGTCTGCAGAGCCATTCTGGGGTTACCAAAAATGTTGCCAAGACTGTAGCTAAGCTTAGGGAGGTTCAAACCAATAATTTGTTCAATTACATAGGACAAAGCAGGATCCACTGGATGTTAACTTCCTTCTTTTCAGTACGTCTTTTCTGTCAGGGAGCTCATGTAAGTCAAAAAATACAAAATGATTAGAAGGTATCCAATGGCTGACAGTCACTGAGAATGGTGAAAATGGAGCTTTTAAACTTAATCTGCTGCTTTCACTGGTAAATTACCATCTGAGGCACTTGGATGACCAAAGAAAACTTAGACAAATGAATCCAAGGCTTTCCTAGACAACTGCTGTGGGTACATTAACTAATTCTGAAAAACACCATAATAGAAGAAAGAGACAGGAGGATGAGAACAATAATTTTTACCTTTTGGCTAATTCATGTTGCAAACACCAGAATAAAAAAGGTGCACACAAAAAAGATAGAAAGAAGTACAGATTTTATTAGAGACTGCTTAAGCTTGGGAGGAACAACAATAATACAGGCATATGCAAACCTACTGTTGAGTGCTTGTAAAATCCTTTAAAACAGCTGACAAAAATTCAATATGATAAAATACATAAAGTTCTCAAAGAAAGTACTGTGTTAAAAAAGGTTATAATCTCAAGTCTTCAGGAAGGGTAGGAAATGTGCAGGTCTACTATATAAAACATAAGTAGTCAAAAAGTAAAAATTAAAATATCTCTGGATGTTCTCAAATGATATTTAAAAAAATACAGCTTAATGCTCCAAAAGTAGCTGAAGTGAAGGCAGACTTTACAAACCTTCTATGTAAACAAGCCTGAACTCTGTAAGATGTTCACAAATTCCTATTTTCAGTGTTCATATTTAACAAGGTTAAAAAAGAGCGCAAAGGCCCCCAGTACTGAGACCACTTATTGTACACAGACATAAGATGGGTTCAGAGTTCCAGGCTATGTCAGGAAATACAGTTAACTATGCTCACAGATCAGTTCACTGACACATGATTGCTGATGTTAGAACATTTTCACATTTGGGTGAATATAAAATGTCAAATTCTGGAAGAAAGTGAGTATAAGGCTCACCCCTTTAATTATATATAGTTCATTAGAGAAAAATGAATGAGAATAATTGAGGCATAAATTAAGAGTGAATTTCTAAGACAATAAAAGCACTGAAATAATTTGGCTTTAAAAGGAATCAAAATCCAAAGGTCACTAGAATCACAGCCTAATGTTTTATCAAAAGAAATATCATATACACGTAGTAACAGGTAGTGTTTTGATTTACACAAACAGGAAAACACTGTGCAAAAAGGAAAACATTGAGAGAAGGAAAACATAGTAATATTTAAAAGGCAAAAATAAGAGAATCCATGGGATGAAGCACCTGTATAACGAATGTAGTAAAGATCTAGTCCCAGGGTTGAGTTCTTCTGTATGAGCCTCAATAGTCTCACAGCCCTATTTTAAAGGATCACCCACTGACCCACTTTTTCTAGTGTGACAAGGCTTGGAGGAACAGCACAGTTTTGGGCTCCTTTCACATGTGGAGTCCCTGATTAGTCTGCAGTGATTTCAAATATGGTCTAAACCCATTGAAATGCCAGTATTACCAAAATTATACATTTTCATGGTGTGTCATAGCCTTTGGATTTGGGTCTTTTCATGTCTTTTCAGAAATCCTGCCCTCCAAATTAAGTAAAAACATGTATGTGACTACAGCAATGTCACAATTACGATGTCAGACCATCTGATGAATAAACTAGGTCAGAATATTTTAAAAATCCAGAGCAGCAGGGAATGAAAATAAAGAAACTTACGAAAAACCTTATTTTGCAAAATACTTTTGTAAAATGTGAGGTATTAACCTATTTCCACTCCATCATCCTTGCTTGTTTTCATCAACCACAGCAGATTCTGAAATGCAGCCTACACTGAGTCTAACAAGAACTACAAACGATGCTAAGATGTGTCTACAAATGACGCTAAGGTTCTTTCCAGATCTGAACCTCAAAAAGTGACCTCAAAGTAATGTGGTGGATTCAATAATGGATTAAAAGAAAAAGCCATTAAGCCTCCAGAAACAAGAACTGAAAATCACTTAGCAGTGGAGCCTGAGGGCAAAGACCAAGGACTTTCAGAAACTATGAACAATTAGTTAAATGAGACTGATAGAATATTGTTGAGTAGAAAGTCTCTGAGAAAAATGAAGCCAGAAATCATTCATTTGGGGGAGAATTTTTTTTGTGGCTAAGTTGTTTAACCCAAAAATAGAAATCTGATAATAAAAGTTATAAGAACAATTTTCCTCACTGGCAGTTAATAATAAACATATTAAATATCACATTTCTATTGTGATAAATTACTATAATGTCAAAGCCTGATAAGACTTTACCTTGTTATCCACTGTCATTCCTCTAATTTTAGAAGGATTAACCAACCAGTTCTTGCTAAATTGTAGGCACACATACAAAAAAAAAGTGAGTCTTGGTGAACACAGGATGTCTAGCCAGCCTCAGGTTATCTTCAGTCTTCACATTCTTGACGTTCCAGGAATGATGCGCGAGTTTAGGTTGGTTCTAGGATAGGCCCAGGGGCCTGGTTTGATCTGGGATCCCTGGGACCATACCTAGAACAAACCCAAACAAAACCAAATTCCTTGGGAGTGCTTTCAGCTCAGGTAGACTTCTGGGCTTTCACTCATATGGACCTCCAGGGCTGTACCAGGACCACACGCCAATCTTTAAGGGATAGGAGTTACATTTCTGGAGCTTTCTGTACGTTGCCAGATGCTAGTACTGTGGCTGAGTAAGCATTGTTTAAGTCATGAACAGAAGGTACAGGTTGGTACAATAAAAGTGCAGAAAACACTATTATTTAGAAATGGACTTAATGTAAGAATTTACTTGGGAGGGGAAAAATAACATGCAATTTCTTAGGATATTATAAAAGAATAAACTTGTAAAAGACATGTTTTAGTTTTAGAAAAAATGTTCAATGATAAACTCATTTGTAGGAAGCCAAGCTTTAGGAAATGCTACAAAAGTGAAAAACGTCAAGTCCAAAATAGTAAAATAATCCCTTATTTTGAGAAACTCTTAGGATATAAATATGAGAGGAAATACATATTTCTACAACAATATCTCATAGAATACATTCATTTTAAAAACAGCATGGTCAGAAGTAGACACACACTGCCCTATTGCAATAGTATCTTCAATATATGCCAAATGAAATTCAGTAAATAGGGATGAAACAAACTAATTTAACTGCTGACAGGTTAAAATATATTAAAATGTATAACATTTAAAATACTACATGCATTTTAATTTACCATACATTTTAGGATATCCACCACATCAACTCCTTATTCATGTTAAACTTTTGTATATGTGAATCCTGGAATCAATTCATCCTCTTTTTGGTTTATAGCAATTACACTGAGTAGAATCACTTTCCTCTCACAGCTACACTCAAAGAGAATTTTTCTCCTTGTACCACCAACCCAAGTTCAGCATCATGACTATCTACTCTGTAAAGGCAGGCTCAACTCCAGAAATTGGTTTGGATCATCTATTTTTTTAATGAATGTTGTATCATAATTCCCTTCCAGTAGCACAAATAACTGAAAACTGACTATGAGGCACAGCCATGAAACAAGCAGACTGATTTTCCAATTACCCTGCATCTGATGGAAGGATGACTCAACAATGGTCACTAAAACACAGTCAGCCTGTTGGTAAAACTAAGTTGTTCAATGCTCTTTCTAGACAGATTTGAATTTTACTTGCAAACATTATAACATGCAAATTTCATGTTTATTTTTCATTCAAGAGAGAAAAACCATCATGCTTATTTGACATATTAAATAATTTAAACATGCAAAATATAGAATGACAGTGGGAATTTAGTCATTCAAATATCTGTCACTGATCCAACACTGATAACTTTTGGCAAGCTTTTAACATACATTTAATCGAACAAAAAAGTAAAGATATTGTCTTAAAGAGCTGCATGACCAAAGAATAAATTCTTCATGGTATAACTGCCTACAGCCTAAAAACCTTATTACTTCTTAATTCTCTGTGATATCAATAACGAAAGTTTCTTACTTTCCAGGGCTCAGCCTACTTCATGTTTTGGAAATGAAGATACATTTCTGTAAAATAACTAAAACCGAAACATGAAAAAAACAATCTAGCCAAAGAAACTTTTAGCAGCATGTGGTATCCAATTCAAATAGAAAGTACTATAGAAAATTCTAATTCAAATGGACTGATTTTAATCAGAGCCAAAAAATTAGAGGGCAGAAATATAGAGAAGGTAAAGTATAGAAACAAAATGGTTCTTTTTGTACAATAATAGCTCTTTTGAGAGCAGATATCTAATCTAGTAACCACTTTTTTTAAAGATAGCAATGAAACAGTAGCAAGAGGTCACAAAATCCACGCACTTAAGTCTAATCCAGTACTTCAGGTCTTCAGAGTCAACGTACTCTTACTTTATACATTACTCTAGCTGTCTTGGTCATCTGGGTTCCAAAACCAAAGCTGACTAAGAGTATTATGAAGGTCGGGGCTGGCCCCGTGGCCGAGTGGTTACGTTCGCGCGCTCCGCTGCAGGCGGCCCAGTGTTTCGTTGGTTCGAATCCTGGGCGCGGACATGGCATTGCTCATCAGACCACGCTGAGGCGGCGTCCCACATGCCACAACTGGAAGAACCCACAGCGAGAAATATACAACTATGTACTGGGGGGCTTTGGGGAGAAAAAGGAAAAAATGAAATCTTAAAAAAAAAAAGAGTATTATGAAGGTGGAGAAAGGCTAGTGCTACAGGCACACTTAAGCAAGCAGTAAAATAAATTGGAGGAATCAGAACTATTAGAAAACAAGAAACTGAAAACACAGGGCAGAGAATGGAGCCATTCAGGTAAAGGGGTATACAGTCCTCAGGGTGTAAGTCTATCACAGTATAACAACTAATGCTAATAATGATCATTTTGACATTGAAAAAGATTAAAATGTCTTTCATATATTGTTTAGGAATGCATACTAAGTTTTAAAAAGATTTCCTTCAGAAATTCTTCTAAAAAATTTTAATGCTTAAAGAGGTTTAAGCTCTACAGAAAACTGGGATATCTAGAATGACTCATTCTCCAAACACTCAGCTAGCCAGTTCTTACTAAATTAGCCATGCATGTTTAGTCTCAAACCAATAGCTCTAGAATATAAATCTTGGTGAACAGATAAACTATAAATCACATTATAGTGCTGTAAATCTTAAGTCTGTGTACTATACAAGGAAAAATGAACAAAACCAAAATATCTAACATTTTCCTAAAATATACACAATGATTTACACAAAGATGACAGTCAAATTTTCTTTTACAGCTAAATTCATTAATGGAGAGACACAGAAACATCAACATGTAAAAGCTGAATTAATACTTCAAATGTATGGCAATCACAATAGTCAACCAAGTATTTTCAGCAAGTTCTTAGTAGAGAACTAAGTGGAAACGAAAGTATGCTGAGCAGCCAGACAGGTACCACAAGGTCCATGCACTTTACAGACAGAAAAGCCCCTTAGCCTTCTTCAGTCTACTTACTCTTTATTTTAGACACAATTCTAGCAAGCTTGGCAATCTGGTTTCTCAGTCCTCAGCAGATTAGAAGCAGCGAATTAGAGGCCTAGTGCAGGAGGCAGGCACACAAGACAGCAGCAAAAAGTGACAGCTGATTATAAGGGAAGATAGAGAAACTGTGAAAGACAGATGTAACTCAAAAAGCATAGCAGTGCAGGGTCACGTAGGGAAGGGGCAGTCTAGATCTCAGTAGGCCATGAAGGCGAATTTCTGTTTATCACCCCATGACAGGAACTGATGTTCTTAAAGATGACAAAGAAAAAGTTAAAATTATATCCTAAATACTCTAGAAAAAGTGAAGAAGCAGGAAGCACATTTTAACAAATTTCCCACTAAACTGTTAAAAAATTTAATGATTAAATGGATTCGCCTTGGTTACCTGAAAAATTAACTCATGCAACTTAGTTACCTGTGAATGATGACAGGTAAATGAATTGTTACTGTACTAAGGGCATTTTTTCCATATTTTATTTTCTAAAACATTTGTAGCTTCATTTTCTAATATAAGTGTGAATTGCATAGATATGTTCTTATAAATAGAATTGGAAGTATAAATCAATCTTTATGCTTTGTCTGGTTGTCATTCAGGCATGATACCCACTTCAGTTCAAACAAGTGAGCTGAGCTATACCATAGTCTGACAGTAATTAGTTCTTGTTTCCTTGTTTTGTTTGGGTATAGAAACAATATACTAGGATTAAACCAAATCAGTTGAACTTTTCTTCCTACATGATTTATAATAATTTATCAAAATAGTTCATATTTTACATTATTGATGGTATAAAAGTAAAAGTCAGTCACCAGAATGAAACGCCCTCTAGGGTCCCTTCTAGTTAACACTCCATTGATTTATAATTTTGTGAAATGTATTGGAATTTGATTCTTTATATGCTTTAATATTAAAAGCTTTACCACTTTTATTATATGAATCAGAATATTACTATTTATTTAGTTAAAAATTGAGTTTTTAACTTTTTGACCTATTTTACTAACTAAATATTTATAACCACATCTTGTTTTGCAGACTCAAAAGTTTTATTTCCTTTTTAACTACTTCTGAGAAGCCAGAAATTGCAAACATTATTTAGGAATCCAGAGAATTTTGGTTTTGCTGGAAAAACTCCCCATGACATTATTAGGTCAGCTGCACCCACAGCTTTTCCATGATGGATGTGGGCTTAAATCCATATTCTTAAATTTCCTTAGTAATTTGCCTTAAATGTGTTTCTCCCAACTTGCCTGTCTTCAGTAACTTCAGAAATCAAACTTGAGTCAATGCATCAGTTCCTGATTATTTCATTAGACACTGTTAAGTACAATTAGTTTTAATGAGGACTTAAGAAGTCAGATAATACAGACAACCTGTAAAAATAAGCAGAGGACTGTAAATCAAAGACCAGCAAGAGTCTGGCCCTAGAGAAGATAAGCAGTTTTAATGAAAGCTGGAAAAAAGGGATTTAAAATACAGTAACTGTCACCAGATCTTTATTGCCATGACTTTTCTAACTGTAGGCAAAGCATAAAAATCCTGTGCTCAAGAGTGACCCAAATAAATAGCGTTTTTCATGCATTCTTATGTTAATACTACATTTAAAACAAACTATGGAAATGTTCATATTAAAAGCTGTTAGGATATTACTCCTAACAAGAATTATACAGTCAAAATACCACTGTAAAATCTGGAAAGCACAATTACAAGGTTTCTCCACAAAATATTTTTCCCAGAGGGCTTCTTTTGGATATAGGATGGCAGCTATTAAAACTAGTCAAAAGCCTGGTAAGACAAAGTGAAATATTCTTAGAAAAGTAACAAACAAGAATGCCCACTTATATTACATTGGATCTTTGTTTTATTTCCTAAGGTATTCATAAGAAGAAGAATAAAGTCCTAGACAGAGGTTCTTAGATTTCACTGAACATAAGTATCAGGTCTCATTCCAAAATGACTGACTAAGAATGACTGAGAATATAGCCCCAAATGTGCACTTAAGAAAATAGGACCTCCAATTAATTCTAATGTAAGTGCCTGATGAAAAAACAGAGAAACACTGACTTTTAGATTATTATAAGAGAACAATAGGAATTTTCACAGAAGATAATATTTTATCTTGGAAATATTTTCAAAGATGAAAGAAATTTTGAAAACTACACAACAAAAGAACATTCAATTAAAGTTCCAAGATCCTCGTATCACGATTTCAACAAGTAGAATGTTCATGGAGCTAAGTAACAACTAGTGAATAGAACAGATCAGACTGGAAGATTAGGAAGTCCTGATTAAAATTAGTCTTTCAAAATTAAAAAGTATCACCTCAGTGAGCACTGAATAAAACTGATATAATATTATGAAGATATTTTTCTCAAACTGGTGTAATAAAGAAATAAATAATAAAAGAATTAAAAATTATTGAACTCTCTTCCTGTGTAAGGTTATAGATTAAAAGAAAGATTGCAAAGTTTTTCCATAATTACTTCTTCAAAAGCCAAGGAAAAAAGGAGTTGACAAACTAATTTAAAAAGAACATAAACTCTCAGTATTATTATTTAAGAAATAATAGTCAGTTACAACACAAGACTTTTTTCCTTGGAATTTAGTTAACTATTTCTAAGTGGTAAACTAGGCCCGCCCTAAGATTTTGCTCCTAATGGCATAATTATGGATAAGTCTCAGAATTTTTGGCAGAATCACTTATAGTACAAAGGATCTCTACTATTCATATAAAGCAGAACAAAGTTTTTCCTCAGGATAAAAAATAAATATCCTGAGGTCATTAAAAAAAAAATCCCCTTCGGTATATGAAAATTTACTCACTGGAATTGCTAACTTACAGGAATTCGAATGTGTTTCTTAACTCTAAAGACAATCTAGACTCATTATGTAATTTCCTTTCTAGGACAGCAGCATAAATTGAGTTATTCCTACATTTTCTCCAAATAACATCTATAAACTACATCAGTGCATAGGAGCTATAGGTTTCAAAAAACAACATACTCCTGAAAATATCACTCTTTGAAAATGCAATCACAACACAAAACAGATGAGATCGAACAATTTGGAAAGCAATCTCTTTTAAGAGGTAGTATGTAACTGAAGTATTAAGGAGACAAGGATGCTTTCCAGGAAGCTGACAGGATGTTTCCAGAATTTTATTAGGGTGGAGACCGTACAGCCTCAGGCTAGAAGCCAGTAGCATCTTGACTTGCTTGTGATAATGGCACCCATTATCTCTAGGCAAATTGATAAAAAGAACTTTTTGCAAAGTTGGGGCTGAGGCCTTGGATCCTTAGGGATCCCACATTGACATTATCTCTAGGGTTGGAACAAGAATAGAAAAACATAAACACACAAAAAATTGAAAAGGTAATTCTCAAAATGATACAATGTTTTTCTTAAAAAGATCATTAGGAAATCTTTGAATTAAATAGTGAATACACATATGAACAAGGAAACATAAGAAATACATCATACCCCAAGTACCTATAAAACTACGTTTTAGTCCCAAATCCCAGTACACATCAATTGCATGGATTCAATTATTTTTTATTCAGAACCTGCATCTTTGTTTTAAGACTGGTATAAACAAAAATAAAATACAAACAACTTGTTATTAACATAATAGCTGCAGTTATTAACTGCAAGAATACAGTAAAAAGGAGTCATACTAAATGTTTAATGTTCTTGCAACAGAATTATCCCAGTCATTTCATGGCAGCAAATTCTGGCAAGAAATGATAAATTCATTTGTTATTAAAAGTACTTAAAGAATTTCCAAGATCAATCAGTTGTGCTGCAAACAAAACAGCAGTTTATGCAAAAGAGCCCTTACCTTCCTCTTATTTTCTATAGGATCTGCCATTTACAGGTAACTACTTTCAGATCAGTTGTTCAAAACAAGGTTCTTCCTGTAAATTCACATCTTAGCTTTATATGTAGTAAAGTTACACTCATTTTCCCTTTCCAGTGGAATATCTAGTCTTGAAGCTAAAACACTTTCTTAAAAAAGGAACAATTTCAAATCCTTCGTGTCAATCTTGGGTCTTACTTTTCTTCTACCTCATTTTTATTTTCTTGTATTATTTGTTCTTCCTCCTCATCACCAAAAGTCTGTTCCTGCATGGTGGTGAAGGAGAGAGATCTAGCAGCCACTTCTGCAGCGAGGCCAGCAGTGAAGGTAAAATCCGGTGACAGATGTAGCTGTGCCAGCCTCTGCCTAATGGAGGGCTGTGACGAATCCCTGGGAGTTGGACGGGCAGTGGCCAGGCCACCTACGTCTGCCTGCTGAGATTCATCTTCACTGTCACATTGGTAACACACTCTTTCTTCAGCTCTTTGGAAGAAGACTTCATTTGCAGAACTGTCTTTATTGTTACCATCTAGAGGGTTTTCACATAAATACTCAGTCCTACTACTTATTTCATTGTCAGTTGTGGAAAGTTTACTATTTTCCTCTTCAGTATCATTTTTACCAACTTCCCCCATATCTGAATCCACTGATGGTTCTGAATTACTTATGGGTTCCACTGGGTCTACAGGAGACAAGGATTTCAACACAGCTTCAAAGGGGGGGGGGGAGAAAAAAAAAAGAAAGAAAGAAAAATAATAACTAAGGACCCAGCAATGATTTAAACTTTACACTCCTAGTAGTTTTTTTCTTTAAAGAACAATAAATAAATAAAAGCTAAATAAAATTTTTTAGTAAAATCAATGTAAATTTGTAAATCCAGAGAACTTTATAAGAGGTAAAAAGCCTAAGAAATGAAGTGAGATGGGGTTTTAATGGAGATTTTAAAACACCTCACATATTCTCATTCAAAATATTAAAGCAGTGGTTCTCAAAGTGTGGTCCCCAAACCAACAGCATCAGTCAGCATCACCTAGGAATTTGGTAGAAATGCAATTCTTGGGCCCCACTCCAGAGCTACCCAAGAGAAAATTGGGAGTGGGGACCAGCTATGCTTTACAAGCCTTCCACTTGATTCTGATGCACATGAAAGTTTGAGAAACATTGTATTAAAGAATAAGCACATAGTTTTCACTGATAAGCTGTCAGATAAAATGCCTAAGAATCCAGATAATAATCGTATGTTCTACACATATATATTTACAAGTTAAAACAGCACGGGGAAAAAAATGCAACATATAATTCAACTTACTTGCCAACCACCTAACAAGACCCTGATGACAACAAAGCCATAACTTCTACACATTTTGTAATGCCACAGAAAAATATAAAATGAAATAAAATCTGTATTTAAGATCAACTACTGTACAAAGCATAATACATAAATATTACATCCATACGGCAGAAGTTGTCCTTTCAAGGAAAATGAAGTTTATTTAGCCCCTCTTGATGTTAGTAGGCAGTGGGTTGCTTGCTAGGCAGTCTCTCCTCCCAGTATGAGGGGTTAGTACAATACAATATATTATGAAGCATGACGGAAGAAAAAAAGTGCGTCTTGAAGATCTGGCGTTTATTTAAAAAATAATTTTGTAAAACGTGTCCATTTCCAAGAAACAGATCCCTAAGCTGCAGTAACTCCACTAGAGAAGCAGCAACAACAGAAAAAAATGGCCACAGCAGGTTCCATTGTAGAATGTCCCTCTCTAATTCCATTCGGACTTTACCCCTGTAGGCAGAGATGAAAACAACTCTGGAAGATGTACTGAAATTTTTCATGGGAAAAGCATTTTATGGTATCAGCAGCTTTTTACTTATTTTCACAAACTAAATCAGCATTATTGCCCTTTCAAATGTAAACTATCAAAGCACATACCTGAAAAGAGGCACACTTCTCTCGCTAAATCTTTGCCCATACTGTCAATTGGATAATTTTAAAGCTACATGAAGAAAATACTAAATAAAAAAAGGACACAAGTTCATATACAGTGCTATTTTCAGTCTTCATGTACAGCTTTAGTCTATAAATCTGTCAGTTCTTAAAGAATGCAACATATATCAGAAGTTGATTGATATTCCTGAATACTGCTCATTAAATGGGGAGATATAATCTGTATAATGGGTCAGCGGACAAGTGCATTTCCACCGTGCCAGAATATAAGCCTCCGGGAGTGGAGGGAGTTTTGTCTCTTGATCCAAGTGCTACGGATATACAGCAGTAAACAGTGCCTCAATAACTACTTGTTGAGTGAATAATTTGCTGAATGAATACTGAGGGGGATAAAAAAGCCCCTATTTAAGGAGACTGTAATTTAATTATAGAGACAATACAATCGACCACATAGAAAACAACAAAGCCTAAAACGTAATAGTCTTAATCTCTGATTTACGTAGGCCCAATATATGAACAAGCAGGTTACAGAAACTCTATTTTTACTGCTGCTGCTGGGAAGTTCTTTTTGGGGGGGGAAGTTCTTAATCTACTATATGCTGTGCTGCTCAAGACCTGCTTTCATTTCACTACTGTGCCCCTCTGGTGTGAGCATCTGCAGTGGTAGGAGAGGTGTCAGAGAAGGGCTGGAGCGGTCAGAGGAGGATTCACAGGGGAGACTGGTGGAGACGACAGCTTGGGGAAAGAGAGAATTCTTGGTAAAGGGATCAGCATGAATGTTCTTCATGAATAAAAACAGCAAGTTTGTGGACGCATAGTCTAATGAGATAAATATAACTAGAAGAAGATATCTTTATTAGAAATAGTGGGAAATACAATTGGATATGACGGACTCATGATGGAGAGGCTTGAAACCAGGTAAAGGAGTTTAGATTTAATATAACAAGAAAGGAACCGCTATAGGTTTTTAAGTTAAAGAGTCATTATCAATACGCTGTTTGAGAAACACCTGGAAGGAGCTCGCAGATACATCTTGTCCAAGGTACATCTGGACAAGGGAGAATAGTAGGGCTCCCAAGAGAAGAAAACCCTGGGGAATTTTCCAGAAGTATAGGTAAGGTATATACTTCTAGTGAAAAAGAGGAAGGGAAAAAGAAGGCAGTCGGTTTTGGGCTCAACCCCAAAATGAGCGTCATGCTCAAAAATGGAAGGGAAGCCCCACTCAACCTTCTTAGAAATCCATAGGAATTACTTCCTCAACTAGGAATTAGGTAGTTTGATAATGCCAAGTATTAAGTGTCCCTTCACTCCCTCCCCTGCCTCCCATGAAGTTTGACTAAAGAAAAGCAGGGCAGGAAACATAAGGGAGTTTAAGGCTAATCTCAGGTATTACCAGTCATCCAACTTGGTCCAAATCCAAGTATGGAGACTTTGCGCACAGAGGCACCTCCTCTTCTCCCATCTACTTAAGTGCTCAAATCAATGAAGTAACCTTAATGATGTAACTAAGTGGTTAGGTCTTAATTCATTTGTTTCAATAATGAACATAGAGTTATTATTTTGTGTTTCATTGAGGCATCTATAATATAAACATAAAGATAACAGAGTTTAGAATCTCGAATTCACTAAATTTGAAAACACTCTAATTTATTCAACCCATTGGCCATTCTAAAACAAATTTAGTAAAAAAATCAACTGATGAAAAAGTGTGATTTCATATTCCCAATTTGATTATATACCTACTTTTTTATTGATCAAACTGATTTCACGTCTAGAAGAAAAACTACTATACTTACTGATGGATCCCTAAAATTAAAGCCATAAGAATTATATAGCTAAAGTAAGATTCACAGTTCAAGAAAAAAGAATCCCCTACACTGAGATAAGCTTTTACTCTGAAGTCAGTGCTTACCGTGATCACTAAACAGAAGTTGCTTCCACTTCTGCCTTTCTGCCTCGGATGCTTTAAATCCCAGCACAGATTTTAATTCTTGGAGTACCCTCTTGGATTCTTCATGCTCACGCTTCTGTCTCTCTCTGTCTTCTTGAGACAAGTAATAAAAATCATCCTTTCTGAAATCACTGTCCATATCTATATCATCAACATAAGCTTCTAATTCCTGAAAATGAATACAACAAAAAGCACTTTACTTCAAGCAGATAGTTTCCTAGGAGCATCCATTTTCTTGCACCTACCCATCTCCAAGATTAAAAAATGAGGACTCTCGGCACAGGTCATTAAAGTAGTTGGGCAAACAAAGAAAACATACTTATAGATAAGCTGACATCTTAAAACAACTTAACAGTTGATACAAACAAAGGCTGTGGATAAGAAAGTTTAACAAGTTCAATCATTATTTTTCTACTCTGATACTACTCTATAGATCTAGTCAAGATTACAGTTATTAGCTTTGTCAAAACCAATCAAAATGAGCAGGGCCGGTGGTGTGGGGCAGCGGTCAGGTACGTTAGTCTTTTTGTGGTAGACATCTGTGGTTCTTTCTGACTTCCTAGGAAATCTGAACACTATTGGTAGGTCTGGGCAATATCTCATCCTCTGGTTCTCCATCTCTAAGGCAGAGGGTAGGATTCTTGTTCACCCAGCCTCTCTTGCAGTTATGGTTCAGGAAAATGACTTGGGATCCTCAAGATGTACCTGGATCAGATCTGATTCAGAAGTCTGCTATAAAAGCAGCAAGCATCTTGAGGAGCCCATTTTGGCAAGGATGGTGGCAGATCATTTCCAGAGGTAAAAGTTTGAAGGTAGCTTTCATCATTCAGCAACGACGGAGCAAGTGGCAACGTCTGCATCCAGTGATCTAGGCAGTGGTATTGCCACTGGAACAGTTCTTTTGAGTGCTTTTGGCTGTTTACCCCAGCCTGATTCAAGCTTGATTATCTGGCCCGCTGAAATATTCTGTCAGCTAATGATTTTAATCAATTTCTTGTTTGTTAAACCATGTAGGGTCTCCCTTTGCAATTAAGAATACTGAATAGACAACATGACCTAAGGAAAAGAAGTTTTCCTTAGGAGGAGCAAAAGAAATCTTTGTCAATATCTAATGCAATCATTAAAAACTTGTTTTTTAAAGTGAGGTATAACATACATGCAGTCAAATGCACAAATCTTAACTGTACAGGATTTTTATGTATGTGTATATACTGGTAACCGCCACTCAGATCAAGATAAAAACATTTCGAGGGGCTGGCCCAGTGCCATAGTGGTTAAGTTCGTGTGCTCTGCTTCAGTGGCCTGGGGTTTGCAGGTTCAGATCTCAGGCGCAGACCTAGTACCACTCATCAAGCCACACTGTGGCAGCATCCCACATAAAATAGAGGAAGACTGGCACAGATGTTACTTAGCAACAATCTTCCTCAAGCAAAAAGAAGAACATTGGCAATGGATATTAGCTCACGGTCAATCTTCCTCACAAAACAAAAATAACATTTCCAGTATCCCAGAAGGTACCTCTGTCAATTCACTTATTTTTAATGGGTTTAATCACTTTTAAGTGTCTAAGAAATGGAAAATTAGATACAAATAACAAGAAAATCTGCCGGTAGATTCAATGGATTCAAATTCAAGGCACTAAGAACTAACGATCTGATATAAACTCAATACACTACACTGTGATTTTGAAGCTCATTAGAAACATAAATTCAGGGGCTGGCCCTGTGGCCGAGTGGTTACATTTGTGTGATCCACTTCGGCAGCCCAGGGTTTCTCCAGTTCGGATCCTGGGCGCAGACATGGCACTGCTCATCAAGCCACGCTGAGGTGGCATCCCACATGCCACAACTAGAAGGACCCACAAGTAAAAATACACAACTATGTACCGGAGGGCTTTGGGAGAAAAAGGAAAAAAAAAATCTTTATAAAAAAACAAGAAACATAAATTCAACAACTTATTCAACAATTAATTATCCTATAACTTCACTTACAGAGAAAGTTAGGTAACTGTGTACATGAAACTCTTCTTTGGGGGAAAAAAACAATTTTCACCCTTACCTGCTCCTCGGGGATGGGATCTTTGTCTGCGATGTGTAGAGCAGGCTGCATCAACGGTACTACAGTACAGTGTGGGTTTTCACATGCTGTTTCAGGCTTGGCTTAAAAAGAAACAGGCCGCACAGAAATTAGTGAATATATAATTAAAAAATATTCTTGTTACTACTATTTTGCCAATTTCATAGTCCAACTTGTTCTGATTATAACTTTCATTTAAAAAACAAGGATATTAAAGTTAATAGCAGTAAATCAGTAGATTTACAATTTAAGTTAAATTTAAGCTCTTGGAGGAGAAAACCTGGTTTTCTCCCCCTTCAGCTCACTAAGTACTATCTGGCATACAACTGGTACTCTATGAATATTTGCTGAACAAATCAACTTTTGCTCAAGGCATAGGAACAGTCTCAAGACAGACTATCACCCTTCCTCACAAAAGACAAACTTCAATCTTGCACTTCAATTGTACTATTTTTACACTCAGAAGTTAAAAGTGGAAGTGAATTTCACAAGTAAATAGCTGGAAACGATCACCCAGGTGAGTTCAACTTTGATTAGTTATTTAAAATTGGTATCGGGCTGGCCCAGTGGCATACTGGTTAAGTCTGCGTGCTCTACTTTGGGGGCCCAGGGTTTGTGCATTTGGATCCCGGGCACAGACCTACATGCTACTCACTGAGCCATGCCATGGCATGTGCCACATACAAGACAGAGGACAAGTGGCACGGATGTTAGCTCAGGGACAATCTTCCTCAGGCAAGGGGAGGAGGATTGGCAACAGGTGTTGGCTTGAGGCCAATCTTCCTCAACAACAACAACAAAAAACATCTAAAAAGATAAATAAGTAAACTAAAACTGGTGTTTGGTATCTAATCACAGGGTTACTTAATCTCATATCGAGCTCTCTTTCATCAATTTCTCTCCACTTAAAAAGAAGTATGGTTTTAGCCTCTAGATTTTCACCTTTTAAAAGTAATGACAGATAATTGGTTGGGACCAGGGTTGGCTGGCACGGGCTGGTGTGGTCAAAGCAAGCTGGGCTGAGCTGGGCAGAACTCTCAGTAGCTGTGAGTCGGCAGGAAATGTGGCTTAGTAGGAGACAATCCATAGTGTCAGGTGATTGGTTATATACAAAGGATTGAGTAAATAAATATATTGAAGATAATGACAGCCAAGTTTCTCATAATCAGAAAAAGTAGGTACAAATATAGAAAGGGGGAAGGACAGAATAAATTAAGTGGTGTTGGAATTAAACTGGAGGTATTGGTGTGAACTTATGGTTTATAACACATATGGACAGACAGCTATAGAAATAGATATACGTGTGTTAAATGTATATACACAGATATGTTTCCCAGGTTTGTACACTGAGAAGTGGTAAAAGCAATAACATCCTGGTGGCTATGAGCATATAGCACCCAGATCTTGGTTTCTAAATGCAATCTTCCATTAAAAGGAATGAGGGCTTGGGGCCGTCCTTGTGGCTGAGTGGTTAAGTTCACGGGCTCTGCTTCCACAGCCCGGGGTTTGTTTGCTGGCATGGATCCTTGGGGCAGACCTACACACTGCTCATCAGGCCATGCCATCCCACACAGAAGAACTAAAATGACTTCCAACTAGGTTATACAACTATGTACTGGGGCTTTGGGGAGAAAGAAAAAAAAAGAGGAAGACTGGTAACAGATGTTAGCTCAGGGCCAATCTTCCTCACGAAAAAACAAAAAATGAAATGAGGACCTCTTGGAGACATGGCTGATACGAGGACTGGGGGCAAGGAAAGTATAAGAAAGTAAAGAAGAGCTCAAAGAATGCTGGTGACACAAACCATGTTGAATGGGTTCCCTCTGGTCAAACTTTGGACAATTTGAGAAACAAAACAATAATATAACAGTAACAAATTATGATTCATCAAATAAAACAAGAATCTATGGTGCCAGCCTGGTGGCACAGAGGTTAAGTTCGCACGCTCTGCTTTGGTGGCCTGGGGTTTGCCAGTTCAGATCCCAGGTGCGGACCTCCACAGCGCGTGACAAGCCATGCTGTGGCAGGTGTCCCACACAGAAAGTAGAGGAAGATGGGCATGGATGTTAGCTCACGGCCAGTCTTCCTCAGCAAAAAGAGGAGGATTGGTGGCAGATGTTAGCTCAGCGCTAATCTTTTTCTTCTTCAAAAAAAGAGGGGCTGGCCCTGTGTCCGAGTGGTTAACTTTGCATGCTCCACTTCGGTGGCCCAGAGTTTCACCAGTTCGGATCCTGGGCGAGGACATGGCACTGCTCATCAAGCCATGCTGAGATGGCATCCCACATACCACAACTAGAAGGACTCACAACTAAAAATACACAACTATGTACTGGAGCACTTTGGGGAGAGAAAGGGAAAATAAAATCTTAAAAAAAAAGAAAAAAAAAGAAGAATCCATGCATCCATATTGATATAAATAAGTAAATAAGTGGAAAAGAGGGATGCTTTACTTTATAATAGAATGCCAACTAAGAAGTACAAAAGGAAAAATGGAATTAGAAAATTACTATTTGGCAGCCATCTAATTTAAGCAAAATCTAATTTAAGCAAAAAGTATCAATGGATGCTAAAGCTAGCTGGTGAAAAAAAATTTTTTTTTTGAGGAAGATTAGCCCTGAGCTAACATCTGCCACCTATCCTCCTCTTTTTGCTGAGGAAGACTGACCCTGAGCTAACATCCATGCCCATCTTTCTCCACTTTATACAGGGGACGCCTACCACAGCATGGCTTGCCAAGCCTTGTCATGTCCGCACCCGGGATCCAAATCGGCGAACCCTGGGCCACCAAAGCGGAACGTGCGAACTTAACTGCTGCGCCACTGGGCCAGCCCCTGGGTGAAAAAATTTTAAGCTAATTTATTTTATTTCATTCACTTATAAAATTCAGTCTTTTTGGTATATAATTTTATGAGTTTAGACAAATTAGAGTCATGTAACCACTACTACCACCACAATCAAAATATAGGATAGCTCCAGCTTAAATATTTACTAATGCTGCCTTATCCAACTCCTCATACCCATGGAAATGTTTTCTGTTCCTATTAAATTTTACCAGTTTAAGAATGCCATGTAAATGGAATCATATAGTATGGAGTGATTTGAGTCTGGGTTCTTTTGATTAGCATTAGTATTAGAAATTCTTCCATCTTACTGATGTATCAGCAGTTCATTTCTTTTTTATTGCTGAGTAGTATTCCATTGGATGGATGGATGAAACAGTTTATCTATTCACCAGCTCAAGGTTATTTGGGCTGCTTCTAGTTTTAGTGATTATGAATGAAGCCACTATAAAATATGAGTATAGTTTTTTGTGTGAATATTAAGTTTTTATATCTCCAGAGAAAATATCTAGCTATGATATGACTGGGTCATACGGTATGTGTATACTTAATAATGGGAAAAAGTTTGATACAGAAAGGATATTTATATAATCTCAAGGTATTTTTTTTACAAAATATGTATCATGAAAGACAAGAAAAGCTAAAGGAGAAGACAGAACAAGAAAACTAAATGCCACGTGTGATCTGGACATACAAAAATATTATTAGACTAATCAGTAAAATCAGAACAAGGTCTGTGCATCAGAGCAATACTATATCAGTGTTGATTTCCTCATTCTGATGGTATACTGTGGGTATGGAGGAGAATGTCTATGTTTTTCAAAAATGCAAAGAGAAGTATTTAGGGGTAATGGGATTTCACGTCTGCATCTTACTCTCAAATGGTGCAGAACATCAACAAAAGAATGCACAGACCCATACACAGAGAGATAAGGCAAATCTGTCAACAACTGGAGAGTCGGATGACCTATTTTTGTGATATTCCTGTAATTTTGAAGTAACAACAAAAAAGATATTGCTAACTAAATCACTTGTTTCTTAAAAAATTCAAACATTTTATTTCAAGTTGTACAGCAATGGTCATTATGAGCGTTTCAGTGAGATAAGTTTGTGAATTACTTGGTCTTAATTCATATCGTTATTACCTATGAGCAAAAGCCACACATACAGTACATAATTAAGAAATGGCGTATCACCTGCCCAATGATTTGGAGACAGTTTTAACAATCATGTTTAAGTGAATGACCAAGATTCAACATCTCAGAGTATGCTAAAGGAGGGGTGAATGGGATACATCTTTTAACACCCAATGGTCTTCTCAGTGTTTCTACTTACAGAAAATGTACGCAAAAGCTCTAGCCTTAACTCACATCAAAAAGTTAATATGCATAAATATTTACACATATCAAAAACCCTTGGCAAATGTATACTTTGTAGAAAAAATTATTCACCATTTACATTTGAGATATAAAGGAAATCTATCGGTAATATATCAGTAATTAGCATGGTAACATTTTCTTTGAAAAAAGTTAATACTTTTACTGTAAGGACTTATTCAGCTTGTTTAAGACATTAAACCAAGTAAGACAGATCTAGCTTTAAACAAAACAATGACTAATAAGATGATAAAGCATTAATTATCTTTGGCAGCAACAGAATTTCTGTACATAAATCTGATCAACCTCATCATAAAGGTCCAAGGTATAAACACCGTATTGGTTTGTATCACAAGTTTAAACATTAATATACTGAACATTTACAAGGAAATTAGTGAAATTAATTAAAAAACAAGTATAAAAGCTGGGTCAAATGAAAGCAGTTTTGCAGAAAACTTCAAGACTGCATTTTTACCTAGCAAGTACAAGGCACTCTGATGTTACCATTAAATAATGGCACTTAATAATACATTTTAGACCCTTAATAACAAATATGCAGTACCACTTATTATGGCATCTGTATACTATTTCTGAATGACTGAAGTAAGTATTTTCTTTTTTCTTTTGATGAGGAAGATTCACCCTGAACTAACATCTGTGCCAATCTTCCTCTATTTTGTATGTGGGTCATCACCACAACATGGCCACTGCTAAGCAGTGTAGGTCTGCACCAGGAACTGAACCTTGGTTGCCAAAAAGGAGCATGCAGAATTTAACCACTAGGCCATGAGGCCAGGCTCCTGTTGAGTATTTTATCTTAAAAGCAAAACTCAGTTTCTGGCCCCTGACTATGAAACTCATTATTACCCTAACTGGAAAAGAGTTTCTGGAAATTCTAATAATTAAATAATACTATTAAAATCTATCCCTTCACTTAAGTTTTTTAAAAAGGAGGCATATGATTCAGGGAAACTTTAAATAATATTAATTTTTTGTTTAATAGAAGGCGATAATAATAGGAGGCAAGACTTTATATTTAGGGTCAATTTGTACGTATAAGCTCAATCTTTTTTAAGTAAACTAAGAAATTTTGTCAAGTCAGTTTCATCATGGAGATAAGAAATACACCTGATAAAATCCTACCAGAGTGGAATAAGCATTTCTGGTAAGTGTATGTGAAAGAAATCTCTCATAGTTACCTTTCTTATCGGTGTTCCTTCGTAGCAGTTTGTCCACTTGAGAAATGGCCTCTTCCCAGCAGTTGTTGCTCGCTTGAACATGGGGCTGAATCAACTTTAATTTCTGTTCTAGGATTTGATAAGCTTCTGACACTAGTTCTTGTGTTTCTTTAGTACAAACAAGCTTTTCAAGTTCATCTTCAAGAATTATTACCCTGAGTAATAAGGAAAAACAAACAGATTTCTAAAATATAAAAAGGAAAATTTATAATTCACAAGGCTTAGTTAAGAAATAAGCTTATAAGATGAAAAAAGTTCTGAAGATGGAGGGTGGTAACAGTTGCAGAACAATGTATACGTACTTGATGCCACTGAATAGTGTGCTTAAAAATGCTTAAATGGTAAATTTTATGTTATGTGTACTTTACCACAATTTTTTAAAAAGCTCATAAAGAATATCATATATTTATTCAACAAATATTTCTTGCACACATAGTGGGCATTTTATGAACTGAAAGGATAGATTAAGTCCATTTCCTACTTATAAGAAACTTATGATTGAATCAGGGAAACTATACATATATAAATACAATAAATATCAAAGTTATAATACCATTTTATTTCCATTTTACAGATGAGGAATTAAGCCCAGAGAGTTGAAGAAACTTGTCTGGAGTCATGCAGCTGGTAAGCTGTAAAGCGGGGCTGAATCCACAGAGAAAGAAAGATACAGTGTTGCAAGAATTCAGAAGGGGAAGTTACTACCAGTTATGGGTACACACAGGGAACAGCTGAGGAAGAGGTATTTTTGAGGTAGCACCGAAGGATTGATAAAATTTGAGCATGTACAAAAGATGAGGAAGGTCATTCCAGATGGTACATGGAAAAAGGCATTTATATAGTTTGGCTAAACTGAAGGAAAGGAGTGCAAAATAAAGACAGAAAAGCAGACTGCAGTCAGGTTCTGGCAAACCCGTTCTATGGGATGTTTTATACAGACTTTGGTCTAAGCTGCTACATTCGGAAACCAGTGAAGATTTTCAGTTAAGTGAGAAAGCAAATATATGCCTTAGAATCACTAATCGGGCAGTGAGCACTCTGGAGGCAGGGAGAACAGTTAAAGGGTTATGTCCTAGTTTAGGCAAGTTAGAGTGGGAACAGCAAAGGGGACAAGTGAGAGGGAGGAATGGAACACAAAACTATTATTTAGATAACACTTTGAGTGTACAGCAGTGCTATAGAACAAATCAGATATGATGGTTTGTGACTGGTATACTCTCTAGTTAAAATATTTTGAGGGGCTAGCCCCGTGGCCAAGTGGTTAAGTTCGCCCAGGGTTTCGCTGGTTTGGATCCTGGGTGCAGACATGTCACCGCTCGTCAGGCCATGCTGAGGCGGCATCCCACATAACACAACCAGAAGCACTCACAACTAGAATACACAACTATGTACTGGGGGAGAAGAAGTAAAAAAAAAGAAGACTGGGCAACAGTTGTTAGCTGAGGTGCTAATCTTTAAAAAAAAAAATTTTTGAAAGGTGACACACCATAACGTGTAGAATATTTCATTTTTAAACAGGGAACATACTTTCCACACATAATCCCAAGGTACAAAGCTCCTCCTTTTCATTTTCATGCCCATCCAGTGTAGCACTCTTCCTTCTCTGAGCCATCATCCCTCATTCTAATGCATTCCATTACGCCCTGTATATTTCTGATTCTATTGCCAAAAACTAATTCTCTAGAGACACTGGCTTAGCCTAATGCAACCTTTCCACTGAAATCTTGTTTTCCTCTGATGATGATCCAGCCTTTGCCACCCACTCAGGTGGAGATCGCCTCATCTCCCATATTCCCTGTGGAAGGCAGGGACCAGCTAAGGCCAGCAGAACATCCCTGCCTCATAGCTTAATTTTTCCTTAGGTCCTAACCTTAACATCAGCCTTACGTACCTAGCTCAGAACTTGTATTGGTGGGTAAAAACTTACCTACTCAAAATGTCTTTCTGACCTTAATTTCCTACCTTTGTATATTATATCCTTCCTCACTCTAGTAAACTAGTCTTTAGATTTTACTGAGACTTCAAATCCTTTTGAACCATTTGTTTATCTTTCAAAATTGATTGCTGCCTTCCCCCTTCCACTTCTTGCCTGCTATCTAGGGCCAAGTACGCCAACTGCAGTCTTTAAATTCCTATGACCCTCCCGATTACCAACACAACATGAATCCAACCATTCATTTTATCCAGTCCTAAACTGCAAGTCTCTGTCACAGAAAATTTTCACTGGAATGACTGGAACCTATACTTTACTAAGGCAGAGTACCAACAATACTACGCAAAGTAGAAGACCAACAAATATAAACTATGGGCCCTACGTTATACTATTCAACTGGGGTCAAAAAGCCTTTCCTGTGCTACAGAAAAATGTCCAAAGCTGCTGAATTTATTTAGAAAGTCAGCAATATGTTACTCTTCAACTATACATAACAATACCTTTTTTTTTTTTTTTTTTAAAAAAAACCACTTCTTATAATTTATCGTTCCAGTGCTGGCAGATATTTCTCTTAGATTGCAGGTCCCAGTTTAAGAGCCCTACTTAAAAAGAGTTAAAGCAAGCTCATTCTTCATAAACTTCTCCACTTCAGCTCTCAAACAGAATGAACATCTGCTTTTGTCGCATCTTTCTAGGTTTTCTTTTGAAATCAGGCAAAGTGAAAACTGTAAATGACTCCCCTGAATTATGGTACTTACAAATCATTGTTTCTCTGCTACATTCATAGCTATAAACCATCCTTCATGCTGCAGGTCTCAATTTGGCTTCTTCTTTCTAGCTAGGACATAAGCCAACAACCACAATGGCACAAGAATGAAGCTTGCTAATCACAGGAACATTTCCTTAAATGGCTTCTAAACTTACTCATTCAGCAATGCTTTCAGATGGAGCTGTAAGCTGCGCACTGCTGTGTGAATGTTGCTCAGTTCTCTCGACTTCTGTTGAGTTTTGGATAGACGCTGGGGCACTGACTGGTGCTGAGTTTCAAAGTACCGATAGAACTCATAGCTGCGCTTAAGCTCCTCCAAGCAGGCAGAATGGGCACGAGGGAGACCTTGAGTCACATCGGATAAAATATGATGAGGCAAAAGTGCTGGAGTAAGGAACGGCCCAGGAGGTGAATTAGCTGTAGAAAGTAACAGGGCTAACCGTCTGAAGAACTCTGAACTCTGTGCCACCCAGAGTTGGAACAAAACCTGAAAAAAAAAGAGAAAAAAGGCCTAGATCAACAAAATGTATTGGCTAACATTCAAAACAAACTACAGACTTGTTTATCTTAACTTCTGGTTTAAATTTTTCACTTTATCCTAAGTAATGAAAAGAGCTAGGCTTGATCTAACTCTAAGATTAGCCAAGAATGTTACATCAAATTATGCGGTCACGGCATGTGAGGAACTTCTGATTCCCATACAGCAGGTAACACCAGTACCTAATTTAGTGCAGCTCTGCCCTAGAAAACAAGTGGTGATGGAATGAGACACATCTATTAGAAGTAACAATTCCTTGATGAATTATTAAAAAACTTTACACAAAGGAGAAAAGACAGTAGGAATGATGGACCTATATGAGTCCAAAGAAATGAGTCACTGATGGATCCAGAGTTTGGGGTTCACAACTATACCACTGTTTTGGCCTAGGAAATTGCTAAGAAATAACATAAAAATCAGTCCCAGAGTGATCATACCTAGGAACGTCTGGCATGAGAAACTAGAAAATCCATTCTGGAGGAACACACCATGAATCCAGGCAGCAAGGGATCTCTTCAGACATAGTCCTGTTCAAGGGCAGGACAATATCCCCCAAACAAACAAACAAACACAGGAGGAAACAACCTAGTATGAACAAGAGTTAGCAGACAACAAAAAGAGGACTGAACCAATTTAAATTCCAATTTTCCAAACTACGAAAATGGACATTATTTAAACTGTTTTATTAAATGAATGTTAAAATTATGCAAATAATGAATTAAGATAATTTAATGTAAACCTATTTTACCATTAACTTATTTTTTAAAAACGAGCAAGGCCAAATCTCCAAATTGCTAAAGACACACTATCTAGGAATTCTTGAATATAAACAAGCTTAACTCCTAAGGCTTCTTATTTAACTATTAAATTTTGTCACTACAATGATTTTCTATATCCTTTATTTGTTCATTCAGCAAATATTTCTTGAGCACCACGATGTGCCAGGCACTGTTCTAGGTGCTAATAATACAGCAGTGAACAAAAGTGAAAAAAATCCCTGCCCAGATGGAGCTTATATTCAAATAGAGGGGCAACAGATAATAACAAGTAGAAGATAGTTTCCTGGCTGATGGGCTACGGGAAAAACACAGTAGGGAAGGCAAACAGTGAGTGTGCATTTATGTGTGCACACATGGGGAGAAAGGAAGGGTGGGGTGGGGTGGCCAGGAAGCTCTCTAAAAAAGCGTCACCTGAAGGAACTGAGCCATGAGACTCAACAGGGAAAAGAGCTCCAGGGAGCAGGAGGTTCAAGTGCAAACTCCTGCAGCAGGAGTATACCTGGCACATCTGAGGAACAAGAATGTCAGCGTGGCTGGGGTACAGTAAGCAAGGGAGAGTGCAGTAAGCAATGAAGTCACTGAAGTAACTCTGGCTTTTACTCTAAGAGAAATGGGGAGCCCTGAAGGGTTTTGAGCAGAAGAGTTACATGACCCGAGTTATGCTGTAACAGGCTCATTCTAGCTGCTGTGTTGAGAGATGACAGGGAGATGAGAGTAGAAGTGGAGAGACCAGTTACTGCAATAATCCAGGTGAGGGTTAATGGTAGTTTGTATCACAGTGGTTAGTGCCAAGAGGTGAGCAGTAGTCAAGACTCTGGATATACTGTGAAAGTACAACTGTCAGAATCTCTTGATGAATTGTTTGAGAAAAAAAGTGTTATCAAGGATGATTCCAGAGTTTTGGCCCACAGCAACCAAAAGAATCAAGTTGCCATAGCTTACTGCCACTTTAAAAAAGACTAACTTATTATCTAATCACTACCATATTATCCAATTAAACCAAAACTCTGAAGTATACATTTTTTTTCTGTTTGTTCTTTGGATAGTGGAGCTGCTCTGAATGAAGGGAAAACCATAGTTTGTGGGCAAACAGGAAATTTTATTTATTTATTTATTTTGAGGAAGGCTAGCCCTGAGCTAACATCTGTGTCCATCTTCCTCTACTTTATACGTGGGATGCCTGCCACAGCATGGCTTGAGCAGCGGTGCGTAGCTCCACACCCAGGATCTGAACCAGTGAACCCTAGGGCACCAAAGCGGAATGTGCAAACTTAAACGCTGTGCCACTGGGCTGGCCCCTAGGAAATTTTGATTTAAAGTATTTTCATCAATGAGGATTTATTTTTCTAAAGCAGAAAATATACTACATTACAATAATTTAAAAAACTAGTTAAAAATTTAAACAAGGAAAAAAACAGGCATAAGGACTCTGTACTAAATATCTTAAATATGTCTCCCCCAGATACAATGAAGAAGTGGTTTCCTTTCCCAAAGGTGCAGCATTTGCTCTTGTTAAGTTTTCTTTAGGGAAGATATGTGAACAACAAAAAATAAATCCAAAATGTATTTCCTTTGTAGGACACAATGACGATTACACAGGAAAACAAAAGGCCGTGACTTATTTGTAAACCTCTATCACCACATTTTTTTAAAGCTTTAATTAGCGTTGCTCTTTTGAGAGAGAATTTTCTTATAAAATTTAACTCACAAAATTCATTTTTAACTTCTTTTCCTGGGTACAATGGCAATTATACAAGGTGGCAAAACATGGTTTTAGAACATTACAGGAGTTTTCAGCAGTTTATAACCTCCATAGATCTCAAGATAAGGCTTCTTTCAGAGGCTGATATTCCTGGTGACAATGCAACGCAATCACTGAGTTTGGTTATAGATTAACAAGCAAAAATCAAAATACTAGTTAGTCTGATTTGTAAAACAACACAGGTGAGCAAACAGGATCCAGCTACAACTAGCATCATTGGGGGTGGGTGGGAGATAACCGAGAACAAGCCTCACATTTTGGAGCAGGTCACATCAGATGCAATTTTAAAAATTAGCTCACATTTATTAATCACTTACTCTATCCCAGGCATTGGATGGGCAAATATTTAATCCTTTGGAGGTAAACATTATGATTATGCCATGTTTATAAACACAGAAACAATGATTTGCTCCAGACCACATCAGCAGGTAAGCGATGTAGTCAGAGTCAAACTTGGAAAGTCTGACTCCAGGGGGTCCACCTTTTCTCTTTGCTGCCTACACTTAAGCCAAAATACAATTCAGGATTTAACAAGCTTTTGAAAACAACGTATCAAAAGCATAAAGAAATAGGGAAATCACTGAGATATCTTGATGAGTAAACAAAAAATAATTTTAAAAAGGAAATGAAGAAATATGACCAAAATTCTTTCTCCAAATCCTTCTTAAAGAATAACAGCTATTACCATTTTTGAGGACTAATTATACAAAAAGCCCTTCTGTACGTATTTTGTATGTCTTCTCATTTGACCTAACACCTTGTAGGGCAGATGTGGTAACTCCCTTTTAACAGGTGAAGTAAGTTCAAAGAATAACTTAATCAAGGTCAAATGGCTAGTCAGTGTTAGGGCTAAACTATAAACCCAGGGCTGCTCAATTCCGAAGTCTCTGCATTTTCTTCATTAAGACTCTCTCAAACTGTCCTTTGAAAAAAACCTTTATTTCCATAATAGAGTAAAGCATGGTCATTGTATTGAATTTGGGAGTGAATGGAATTACCTAGTGTCACCACTCCCAAAGAGTAGCTATTAGTATCTTGGATTTTCTCCCAGACATTTTTTTTGGATAAGGAGATTGGCCTTGAGCTAACGTCTATTGCCAATCTTCCTCTGTTTTTTTCCTCTCCAAAGCCCCAGCACATGGCTGTATATCCTAGTTGTAGGTCACTGTAGTTCCTCTATGTGTGATGCCGCCACACCATGGCTCAATGAGCTGCGCCTAGGTCCGCACCCAGGCTCCGAATCAGTGAACCCCGGTCCTCTGAAGCAGAGCACACAAACTTAACCACTTGGCCACAGGGCCGGCTGTCTCTCTCAGTCTTTTTTTAAAAACAGAGCTGTGGCAATACCGCATATACGTTTACTTATCCTGATGGTTTCATTGGTGTTAACAGACATTTCTCCAAGTTTTTACAAAATCTTCATAAGAAAGCTGTAGCTGCTGCATAATGGTCCAACATGTGGCTCTACCATAATTCATGCAGCCTTTCCTCTAATGCGGCACATTTAGGCTGTATCCCATTTTTCACTATTATAAACATAGCTAATAAGCAACTTTGTACATAAAGCTTTCCTCTATTTGGAATCATTTCCTTAAGAAAGACTTGCAGAAGTGGAATTACTGATTCAAAGCATTTTGCTTTTTTAAGGCTCTTCATACGTCACATTGCATTCTGAAACAAATAACTTTAGGGAACTAAGGAAACCAGCAAGAAAACTATTGCAGCAGACGAGTAAGAGAAGATGGCAGCCAGGACGAGGATGGTGGGAAGGGGTATGGAAAAAAGTGGACGGGTTTAAACATTTTCAAGTTTGAACCAACACAAGAATCTGCTGACAGACTGGATATGAGGGGTAAAAAAAGGCATAAAAAGGATGGTGCCCAGGTTTCTAGCTTAATAAGTTACATGGTGCCATTTACCGAAATGGGTTAGAATGAGGGTAAGAATAAGGCAAATTGCAAGCAACAGGAAAGAAAAAACACAGGAGAATATGAGTATTTATGTGAATCTAAAAATTTAAAAGATGTAGAAGTTGATATACAACAGTCTCAAAACAAAGTGGGTCTTGATAAATATGCTGTCAACTACACTTGCACTGATTTTCATGGTATCAAGTGAAGCTTTAAAGACTAGAAACAAAGAAATATCTAAGTGGAATTTACTAAATACTGAAAAGGAATTTAAAGACATTTGTACTGACTTCTTAAAACTACTATTGAAGTCTTACCTCACACATGGTTTTTGTAACTTGCTTTAACTTACGTTTTTCTATGTTGTTATTTTTCTACTACTAACTCCGATGAATGTACCATAAATCATTACCAATCTCATATTACTAAACTTTTAATTTGTTTCCAGTATTTGCTGTTGCAGTATTATGAACATCCTTTGAGTAGATCTGATTACTTCTTCAGATAAATCTGTAAGCTTAAAACTGCTAGAGTAAAGGGCACACACCTCCGCGGAGATTCACTGTAAAAACGAACCAGTTTAAACTTTAACCACTAGTGTGTGAGATCTCCCTGAATCTTTGTTGATAATGATAATCAACTTTGGCAAAATGTTTACTTGTTATTTTTATTTGTATTTCTTCCATTACTAATAAGATTGAAAGTCTTGTCACATTTAATGGCCATTTCTATTTCTTCTTTTCTGAAGTGTTCTTTATACACCTTAGTGTTCTTTATATAGAAAGAATTCAAAGCTTTTATTATAAATCATTGCAGTTTTTTCCTGAGCTTGTTTGCATTTAAAATACGCAGTATCTGAAGTTTATAAGTTTAATTCTTAGGCAGTCAAATATATTCTTTAAGTGGCTCTTAAATATGAGAAAAATTCTTATTCTAAACAAGAACTTTGAAGATTTTTCCAAGGGAAGATGTAGATTTTCTAAGTTCTTTACCTGTGTTTGTTGAAACAAATGGCTAGTCATAAAATCACTCATATTGGTTTCCTATTAAAGTAAATTCACTTACCTCTAAATTCTAAGGCAAGACATACTTATGGTAAAATTTTATTTATTTATTTTTGAGGAAGATTAGCCCTGAGCTAACATCTGCCACCAATCCTCCTCATTTTGCTAAGGAAGACTAGCCCTGAGCTAACATCTGTGCCCATCTTCCTCTACTTTCTATGTGGGACGCCTGCCACAGCATGGCTTGCCAAGCGGTGTGTAGGTCTGTGCCCAGGATCTGAACTGGTGAACATTGCGCCGCTGAAACAGAATATGCGAACTTAACTGCTGTGACACCAGGCCGGCCGCAAATTTTAAGTACTTTGATATTAAAATATAAGGATCCCTTTACCCAATCTTTATGATGCTCTCAGCTTTTCAAGGCAGCTTCACAAACATCAGTAAAGCTATTATGGTGATGATATTCAGCAAACAATAAACGGGAACAGGTGCACCACTTAGGTTCAGAAAGCACAGGCACAATACAAGTGCATCTCCTTCACTTCAACCCCTCCCTTCCACAAGCGGATTACCTTCAACGCAGGCAGGCTGAAGCCATCTGTAAGGTTATGCGCTTCCTCTTCTGAAATCTGCTCTTCACTAAGTCCAAGGCCCAGCTCCTTAAAAGGCACCACACAGATGTAGTTGGTTACATTGTCACTCTCAGAGTTCAGGGGGTAGGTTAAATTAGGTTAAGGCAATCAACAAAGCCTTTTCATTAAAACATAAAAGATACAGTAAAACTGTCCAAAATACCTTTACTGATCTTTATCCTGAACTGTGACTGGAGATTTATGTCAGTTTTTAAAAAAGAAACCGATATTAAAATCGAGTATATTGACATACCTCAGATATCTTACAAGATACTTGTGAATAAAATACTTCTATACTTAAAGAATTAAAAGTTCAACTCTTCACAAGTGCTAATTTAGCTATTTTTGACACCTATCTTTTGAAACTGTATTGTGTACTTTATTGCACCATGGTTCAAGCCCTCCGAACAGTACAGTAAATACCTCTCTTTTCCTGCCAGGCTGCACATGCAGGACACCATTAGCTGACCATTATCTGAAATGCACAGACTACTGATATAAGCAGCACTGAACCGGTCCTATCTAAGTTGTTTAACATAGACACTGCTCCGTTTCCACTTTCCTCTTCCTCATGAGCATCTGTCAATATTACTATGTGATTTTTTCCACTTTAATTGTTTTTGTAAAGATTATACCCATACAGTTCTTGATAATGAACCATTCTTGCATTCCTAGCATACTCCTATTTGGCCATATTATAATAAACTTTTAATATAAGCTAGATTAAATCTATAAATATTCTTTTGAAATATTTTGTATCTCCATTTCTGAGATTGGTCTACAGTTTTTATTCTTTGTAACACATCCTGTTTTAGTAATGAGATTATAGTATCTTCATGAATAAAATGATGTAGGAGAGAATTTCTAACCTTTTCTACATTCTGAAATAGTTTTTTTTAAAAAAAACTATAAAACCATCTGGACCTGGTAGTTAAAATTTTTTTAATTCATTTACTTTTTGCATGAGTAATATATTCACATGATTAAAAATTCAAAAGGGGACCAGCCCCAGTGGCCTAGTGGTTAAGTTCAGTGCGCTCCACTCTGGCAGCCTGAATTCAGTTCCTGGGCACAGACCTACACCATTCTGTTAGTGGCCATGGTGTGCTGGCATCCCACATATTAAAAAACAGAGGAAGATTGGCAGAGATGTTAGCTCAGAGCGAATCTTACTCAGCAAAAATCATGGGGTATTAAGGGGTAGAGTAAAACCCGCTTCTTACCATTTTCCCTTAGCCACCTAGTTTCCTTACCCAAAGGCAAAGGCAATCACTGTTACCAGTATCTTGTGTATCCTTCGAGATATTTTATGCATACATACATATGTAAAAGCAAATACAAATATAAATGTGCATGTAGGATATGCATGTATATATATACACATGCACACACACACTTATTTATCCCCTCATACACATATACACACAACCCCTTTTACACACAGATAGAAGGGTAGTACTATAAATACTGCTCTGTGCACTTTGCTTTTTATTTTTTCATTTGGCAATATAATCTGGAGGTCATTAGACAGTAGTACATCAAGAACTTTATCATATTTTTATATATGCAGATTTTTCATTGTTTACATATAATAAGGTGTTTTCTTTTTTAAGTGGAATATTTTTTATCACATGTCGATTCTCTTCAGTTTTTGAATTCTTCCTAGGTCAGTTTTGGAGATTTGTATTCTGGTAAGAAATTATCCATTTCCCCCTACATTTTCAAAGTTGCTGCCACCAAGTTGCATATACTATCCCCTTATAATTATTTTAATTTCTTCCATATCTATGGCTACAACACTGTTCTCACTACTAATCTTGTATACTTCCACTTGCTTTACTTTGATTAGGCAGGCAAGTGTTTATATATTTTATTGGTCTTTTCAAAGAAATGACTGGTGGATTCTTTTTTATCTTAATTCCTTGAGGTTTCTTCTATGGAGAATATGATCTCGTCTCGACCCTGGCTACCTCTCAATCACATCTCATACTCCAACTCCCAACTTCCTGGGCTCCAGTCATGACGGTCTTCCTTCTTTATTCCAATCACGCTAAATTCACTCCTGCCACAAAGTCTTTATACTTGCTGGTCCATTTCCCCGAACACAATCTTTCTCCTCATGCAAATCTCAGTTTGACTGTCATCTCCTCAGAGAGGCCTTTCCCTACCATCCAGTCAAAAAGTGCAACCCACCAATCATTCTCTGTCCTATTGTTTCTTTATAGCAAGTGTCTAAAAATCTCATTTGTGCACTTTTCATTCATTATCTCATCTACTAGAAGGTAAGCTCCACGAGACAAGGATCTCCATGAGAAAAGTGACTGGCACAGGGAACTCACACAATTTGCAATCTTTATTAGGCTATCGCTTCTTAGCCCCCTGCCCCTCACCAAACCATAAGTTTCCTGAGGCAGGGACCACGTCTTTTATGTTGACCATTGTATATCTAGTGACTACCATATTGCTCGGCACTGAGTTTATACTGAATAAATATTCACTGAATGAACAACCACTTGCAGTTTACACGCCACACTGTTGTATGTCTATTTCTTTCCATATCTTTGCTTCCCTCTACTTGGAATGCAGACTGTTATTATCCTTAAGGCCAACTGCTACTCATTCCTTGAGGGTCAACTCAGGTGTCACCTCCCTGAAAGCATTCTCTGACCCCACGGGCCAAGTACATTGTCCTGCTACACTGGAGGCACACTGGGCGCTTACGCTGTATTATAAATACAGGCTTATCTATTGACTACACTCAAATGCCTTTAAAAGTAGGTAGTACAAGTTTTTATTCTGTCTTCCTAGCACACAGCAGGCAGGTATTTAGGCAGTAGGGGAACTAAATGGACAAGTTCTTGACTAAAATTAAAATGCTCTCTCAATTTTCAAAGAGGTAGTATAGTACAAGAAATATCTATATAGAAAAAGTTTCAAGTCATAAATCCTATATTCAGGACACAACTTCATCTCTCACCAGTTGTGGGACGTGAAGCAAATCACACAAAGTGGAGGTTTTACTTAGTTTTCTCATAAAGTGGAGATAAAATCTAGCTGGGAAGGTTTGTATAAGGCTATAATGATAGAGCACAAAGCTCTCTGTAAACTTTAAGCACTGTATTTATCAGTGGTACCATACCCAGCATACTGAAGGTGTAGTCTTTTTGCATTCCACTGACTCATAATTTAACGTATCTATGAGTCTTAACCAAAATAAAGATCTTAGACACTTTCACTTTCAAACAGAACTAATTTCCTGATTTAGTAAATTTAAGTGACAAACTCGTTGTCATGCAGTCTCTGAGTGTTTATTATACACTAGATACTGCCTAAGTGCTTTATATGCACTAACTTATTTGACCTCAACAAAAACACAGTCAGGAAGATTATGTAATTATTGCCATTTCAAAAATGAATAAAGCAAGGCAGAAAGAGGTAAGAAACTTGCTTAAGGTCACTTAGGCAGTAACTGATACAGCCAAAATTTAAACTTAGCCAATCTGACTCTAGAGCCTCTGTTTTCTGAAAGGGGAAGGATTTCCTGCTGCCAGTTTATTTCCATGTCATGACGTAAATTTGCCATGTTCAGTAATTTTTAAAAATGACAGACCTAGCAAAGCCAGGTTTTTCTGACTTTATTCTTTGGACCAGTAAAGGGAGGGACTTCAAGTTTTTCTTGTTAAAAATGAGGCGCAGGAGAGCAGAACTTTCTTCCTGTCTGTTATTATCACTCCCCTTGGAATGTATTTCCAGTTCTAAAATAGTAGTGATGATGGAAATTAGCTTCAAAATAGGCCATCTCAGTTTATAGTTAACTTTTGCAGGATACAACTATAACATCTATATTCAGGACTCCGGAAACATTACTTATTCTTACACACACACAGAAAAGGATATTTTTTCAGCATATATAGGGTAGCTAGCCTTGCTGCTTGAAAGTTGGCTCTTACTGTTCTGTAGACAGCTTTCCGCAGACCGATGAGATGCTGACTGGGATGCTGTCCAGCTTTATTAAATGGGCAAGCAGCACTGACCCTGTCAAGCAAACTTGAAAAGTAAAATGTGATACAACTGTACAGGTGTCCTAAAGTTTTTGTTTCCTAAATCCACAATTCTATTAAGCTTAGAAAAAAAATCCTTTTAATGATTTTCACTAGAAAATGATTACAAATATCCCAACTCAGGCCTCATAAATAGCCATTTCACTGATACACACATAGCTACCAGAAAAAAGACAAATGAAAAATTAAAATCTCAAAGAGTAAAGGCTTCCTCCGACATGGGGACACAATGAATTTTAGTTGAAATATAGTATAAATGTAGGAATATTTATATAAGAAATTGCAACTTTTTTATATAGACACTTTACCTGATAAAATATACTAAAATGGTAATACTTTACATTCAGTTTTTAAATCCTATATCCACAGTAAGAATGAAAGCCTTAGTTACAAACACTTTCCCATTCTTAATATGCATTTACATATGTTCATCAATCATATTTTTGGTAACTTGTACAGAACAATCAAATACTGTATAGAAATACATTCTGTACATTCACAAAAGTAGGGTAAAATGACTTACCCACCTGCTGCCACTGGCACTTACCTACTCAAAATGAAATAGGGGACGCAGAAAGGTAACAGGACCAGTGGCCAACAGGGGAATGCAAGTAGAAAGGCAAAGGAAGGGTTACTATGTAGTAGCATAGCTACTCTCAAAACTGTTCAAGAGGAAGCACATTTCATAGCACTTTCCAAAAGATAAATGGAGAGTTCCTATTTGCAACAATGACAGACGTTAGGCTTTTTATAAAGGAAATTATGAATGATTACATATTACATAGTTATTGGATAATAGTTTTTTCACCTAGCCAGTAACCTCTCAATAGCAAAACAAAATATTGGAATTTATTAATTTCTCATAACAATATAACCACAAATGTTTAGAACAAGACATCTAACTTAAAACTTTAAAAATTTCAATCAAACTAAAATATATTCAGCATTAAAAATCTACAAAAAACAGAGGGCAATGACTGATAGGCTTATTTTAAAATAACAGAATGAGGCAAAGAAGGGTTAAATTATTGGCTAGAAAGGACAAATTAAGGCAGAGCAAAACAGCACCCATGTTTTCAATATATGGCACTATTATTTGTATTCCATTTTACTAAATGAGTCTTAAAAATTAAAAATATCTCTAAAAAATTATGATTCAAGATTTGTTATTCCTTATAATTTTTTTCAATCAATTATCCAGCTGGAGGCAAGTGAAGCACAATTTTTTTCCAACATTTCTTCTGCCTGTCTGCATCTGAATAGATGGAAGTCATGATGTGGAGGTAAATCATGTCTAACTGGCCCATTTTAGTTCTTCCGGCCTATTTTATACATATGGGTAAAAGCTGGACAATGACAAAAGGCACAGAATCCCCTATACTAGGCTACAGAGCATCAACTGAACACAGCCACTTTGCTTAACCAATCAGTCCTCTCAATAAAATGCTGTGCGAAAATGAAAAGCAACTATTACTTAGTCTTAGTGTGATTCTTAACATTTAAAATAAGACCCTCAAACAACTTAATATTTGATATGCTCTATCAATAAGAAGTGGACTTTAACCACAATGGAAGGACAAAAATTAACAGACCAAGGACCGTTACATTTCGAATTGTGCAGAAAGTTATAAAATCTCAATGTCTTGGGATTGCTTAAACACTGTTCTAGAACAAACAGAGCGAAGCCTAAGATGACTACTAGAGAGTCTTCCACTTCCCTGCTTCCATGATTTTCCAGAAACAGCTTTTAAGTCAAGATTAAGTACTACTCTAGAGCAGAGCAGAGTGAAGGATGCAATGACTGTCAAAGATTCTTCTGGCCCCCTTTTCATGATTTTCCAGGTACAACTAATTAAGAGCAATAATCAGTCCACCATATACTTTCTCCCACCTATAGACTGCAAAGGTTATATAAATTATTAATTATACTACAGTAGAACTGTCAACTGTTAGCGTTTAGCAGACAGCCTAGTGTACTGGAAACAAGCTTTAGGCTCAGATGGAATGGATGGAACATTTGCTCTACCACTTAAAATTGCCTGCCTTTAGTTGTATGCACAATTGCCTACCACAGTATATGCAACATAACTGGTGCTCAATAAATATAACTTTCCCTTTAGTAATAGAATAAATAGCCTATATATCCTATAGCTTAATATACTTACAAGCTAGACTGATGAATATTTAATTTTCCCATGGAAATGTGAAACATTATTATTTGTATGATATTCTGAGAATAACAGTGCCCAAGTAATCTGCTAACGTTTACCTAAAGAATATTATTAATATAAAGCAAGATTTTTCAAAATGAATTCATGTCAAAGACATCTATCATTTAAACCGAGGAAAGAGAGCATCTGACAGGGAGTAAAGGGAACAAACATTTATTGGGTAACTTTGCATGCTAGGTTCAATGTTAGGCTCTCTCCATACATTACCTCATATAATCATACAGTAACACACAGAAATAACCACGATTCTCAAAGTACTGTGGTTTTTCAAACTACATGAGCAGAATCATACTACATATTAAATCTAGCATATAATATATTTATTCCTTCACTTAGCAGGTCATAGACTTTAATAAGCACCAAAGAGAAACCTAGTTTTTTTGTAAATGCAACACAGAAGTGCAAATAGGTAATAAATATTCTAATTTAACTGTGTAGTAGAAAAGAATTATTTAAAAAGTAAAATGAAAAATGAACTCACAGTGTAAATCCTCTGGAAATGACTTCAGTTTCTTGAATGAGACGTAAAGCTTTTCTCACAAGGTTAGTAAAAGCTCGGCTATTTGTTGCTGTATCTTCCAAAAGAACATTGTATTTTTTTAGGGTTACTTGTAGTTTGGCTGTCCTCCATAATCTCAAAACTTTTATGATCAGATAAACAAACAGAATCACTCCCCATAGCAGCCAGGAAGATACAATCCACCAAGTGGGAAGCATAATGAGCAAACTAATGAAGGCAAATAGCACTGAGACATCCCTATAACAGAGAAAACAAGAAAATGATATCCATCAGACCAGAGAAAGATGAGTTACTTTAGTCAGTAGTTTAGGTTTACTAAAGTAGATAAAATACTAATTTTTAATATTAAAATAATTTTTTAGTATTTGGAGATATTATGAGTTCCTTTTTTCCCAAAGTCAGACTTTAATTATTTGCACAGAAACATACAATAGCTCAAGAAAATATAAACATTTTTCCAATTAGAAATTATACTTGATGAGTAATTGTTTTGAGTGAAGTCATTTAATTTTAAATAATCATCACAAATCTGGAATACACATTCTTACTATAGACCATGATATGGACAAGCTTTGTACTTTTATACTTTTTTAACTAAAGTAAAAATATGTATGAACATTTCTTATTTGGGTCAATTACAAATCCACAGACTAAAATACATCTTTTATACAATGAAGGCTTTGATGAAAATGTGTATATACAAGAAAAAGGGGAATACAGGGGGAAATGTGTCTGAGGATATCTACAAACAACATCAACAATACTTGAAGACATTATAGTCAAACTACAAAGAAAGTCACATGGAAGAATAACAAATATTTGCCTGCTCTGATTTCCTTTGGAATCCTTTACTTTCAAACAATACTGGTAATATCATCAAGCAAAATCTCATCACATACTTTTATGTACTAATAGCAAAGTCTAAAATTATCTACAGGTCTCATAGGTGCTTAATCACATTTGTGCTTAATCACATTTGTGCTTAAAAGAAACTTGAAAGGAAAGCTCTAAAATTCTTAGAACCTATGGTTCCTTCTAGCAGCTTCTTAATTTCTTAGATTTTTAAAGGATAAGATGCTTTACTTCATCATCCTGAGACACAGATTTGGAAAACATCATACTTCGCTGTTGTAATACGAAGCATTTGTCAGAGTGACAGGAAAGAGAGAAATTCAGAACACTGAGGCCAATGAATGTAACTGCCTGTATAACTTCAACAGTTCAAGCAACGATTTAGTTCCTTTAATAAACTCGTACTTCAATAGGAAGAGGACATTAACAGTTCTGTATATATAATCCCTTCTTACTATTTTTTTTAAAACAGATTCTGGCATGGAACTGATTCTGGCATAAGACCAAATATTTGAAGTAGTTGAAAAGTTTTAGGATAGCATGAATTGTCACACTATGTTCCCTAGGATCTCTTCTTGGCCAACAAAACAAGAGTTGACTATTTACCTCCATGTCCCATCCTGTCCTTGGTGTCTCTACAATGTGATTACGATATAACTGAGTGATTATAAAGGAACATATAGAACCAGCCAGGGCTGCATGCACACACGTGCATAGGTATAGGGGTAAGAGAGATTCTTTTTGGCACATGTTATACCTGCTTGTTGGATTGTTAAAAACAGAATTAATTATATTCAGTTGAGAGTACACAACAACCTAATTGGATTTTTTCCCTAGCTTTAAACAGTATTCACTTTAGAAAGTTACTTTTTTTTTTGAACCTCTGGCACATCATTACATTAGTTACAATGCTAAAAGGTATGGAACGTTTATAAGGCCTTTACAATGGAGAGCATGATGACAGATTTCCTCTGCTAATACTCTATATGTAAGCAAAGGATAGCTGTTTTCTGGACAGTACCAAATATTAGGGGTTGCCAGGGAGCAAAGTGTTGGAAGGTGTCCATTTTCCTGTTGTTGAGGTTGCCCTGCAGACAGGATACTGGGATCAAGTAGCTCAATCAGCTCCACATCCTCTTGTAACAGGACTTCCTGTTGCAGGATGGTATGTAGCGAGTCGAGTCGGAATCCAATATCCTTGCCATTAAAAGACCGGAAGAGAGGTATTAGTACATACATAAGTTTGTATTAGATGCTAAGTTCCTAATAAGATTTAGAGGTGTTTATTTTCAGTATAGACTCTATGAAGAAGAAACAACAGTCCAATCTATCTTTAGTATGATGTGTGAAGTTTTACTTTCATTGTAAACGTGAAACAATAAAGACTGAGGTAAACATTACTGAGCCACTAGATGTGAAATATAAATTTTTAATAAAGAGATATGAAGTAATTAGATTAATAAACCTGTTTAGTGAAGCCTAACTAATTAAATAGCTGAAACACAACAGGGAAAACATAATCCTGTAACAGATGCTGTCCCTGAGTACTCTAACAATATAGCCAATATCTAAGAATTACATCAGCAGGATCAAGGCCTTTTAAAAACGGACATTCAGATATTTAAAATACATCGTTAAGAAATGTAATGCAAAACCACAATAACATGTGCATAGCACTTTATAGTTTACAAAATGCTTTCACATATACCAGCTCATTTATTCCTCCCTCTTTTCCTTCTATTCATCTATCAAGGAACATCTTATGCATACCAGGTACCAGGCTTGATACCGAGGGCACAAGAAAATAAACAAGACATACAAGTCTCTATTCTTAAAGAGTTCAGAGTTTAATGAAGAGGACTGAAAAGCAAATAGTTACAATATAATGTGCACAGAAGTGCAATGAGGTATACCTAGAGTACTATGAAAATGGCATAGAGGGACCAAAACTTGCAGTGAGGTCAGAAAGAGCAAAAGAGGTGATGTCTGTGCTGAGTCTTAAAGGATGAATAAGAACTGACCAGAGGAAACCATGGGAAGAGTGAGATGAGACAGAATCAAACCTTCTCTAGTTTGGGAAGCTGCAAGTCACTGACATTAGTTTTGTGCACAGAATACATGGTAGAGAGGTGAGAGATGAGCTAGCAGTGTTAGTGCAGAGAGGTTAATTCTCACAGGAACCCTGTGATGTCCATTATCATTCTCATCTCCATTCTACAGAGAGAAAACCAAAGCCCAAAGAGATTAAGTAACTTCCCAGAACTCTGATTTCAAATCCTAAGTCTTTGGGAGTTGATTCTGCTTCCCTGTATATAGTCTGCTCTAACAGAAAATCTAAAGTTTTATTTTGTATTAAATTTAGGAATAGAGTGATCCTATTGTCTGATAAAAATAAAGAGAACTTTTAATGGACAAGGCCTTTAGCAGTTAACGTAAAACTGGTTATGTCTAGGGTTTGAAGGCAATAGGTTTGTTCGTCTTAGTCAATCATTCCTATATCACAGAGTCCAGACCCGGTTGATTATAATGGAGACTTAAGTAGGAATGCAGTGATCTATACATCAAACCATAAGCACATATCCTCTTAATCATGGGTTACATCACTTTTAGAGAAGGAGAAGAATATATATATATTATTTTGGTGAGGAAGATTGGCCCTGAGCTAACATTTGTGCCAATCTTTCTTTATTTTGCATGTAGGATGCTGCCATAGCATGGCTTGATGAGCAGTGTGTAGGTCTGCTCCTGGGATCCAATCCTGGGAACCCCAGGCCACCGAAGCAGAACGTGAGAACTTAATCACTATGCTACTGGGCCAGCTCCAGAAGAATGTTTTTAATATTAGGCCTATCTGGAGACATTTATTTTCAATTATCAAAAAAAGAACATCTAATCAATGGAATGTTGATCCTCCTTTTAGCCTGGTGTGGCTTTTTCACTATCTACTGACACACCCTGCATGGTCCTCTGCAGTACTTTTATGTGTCATATTTAAACTGTTGCTTCTTCTCTCTTCTTACAATTCTAACATTAGGAAGCACTTAGTGTGACATCCCACCCCGCTTTCATAAAGAGAGAACAGCCCAACTCACTTTATACTCTTTGTGGCGAGCGGCAGGAGGGCTAAAAAACCAAGGAGGTCAGTAGGCGGAGCATGGTAGCTTTTCAAGTGATCTTTGAAATAAATCTTCACCTATCAGCCTTACTATTTAGTTTGGATTCCCCAATCAGACATAGTCATATTCAAATATAAATATGAAAAATCAAACTTTTGCTACAAAAGTTTTAAATTATAACTTTTATGAGACCCCTATGTACTTGTATATGGGCAAGTTTAAAGAAGCCTAACCATAAACGAAGGCTAAGGCAGACAGAGAGGGGGAAAGCTATTAACATGGAATGGAAGCTCTCCCTCTTCATGGACCCTAGCATAGACATGCCGCTTTATCAGACATTCACTTTCTTCACACCTTTTCTTGGCATCGGATTTGTTGCAAAACTGGGATAATGTCTCCCCGAAACCAACGTAATTCGAGGTAGTATTAATAGCTTTGGAAATACATGTTTCAAGAGTGAAACTAACAACCTACAATCATCTATACATACAAATGAACTTGAAAGGGACCAAGATACTCCAAACAACTAAAGCAGCCTTGTCTTAATGATCAAATCACCTCTACAAAGGAAGAACTTGAATATTCTGATAATTTTAGCTGTAAAATTGAATCTGACTAAATTAACAAATTAAGCTTTTTCTTAAGGATAAACTGTAAAATTATACATTACTCTTTAACTATAAAAATAAGAACTGCAGAAAATACAGTAATCAAACTACTGGGAAAATAGACACCTGCTAAATTAGGAAACATGTCACAATAGCCCTATTTAGACTTTAGGCCCAAGACTCAAACAAATGAAGAAATGTAAAAGGTACTAATTTTGATCCACTTAAATATTAGTAGGTCTTATCTGTATAGTTGGCTGCTCTGTGCTTCGGGGAAGTGTACTATGTGAACTGTGGCTCACCCTCAACAAGTGTGAATGCTAAGAGTTAAAGATTTTATTTTTTTTCCTTTTTCTCCCCAAAGCCCCCCGGTACGTAGTTGTATATTTTTCAGTTGTGGGTCCTTCTAGTTGCGGTATGTGGGATGCCACCTCAGCGTGGCTTGATGAGCGGTTCCATGTCCGTGGCCAGGATCCAAACCGGTGAAACCCTGGGCCGCCAAAGTGGAGTGCACGAACTTAACCACTCGGCCACGGGGCCAGCCCCTGAATGCTAAGATTTAGTACCTAGGTTTATATCCTGGTTCCACAACTTAAGCAAGTTAACAACCTTTCTGATCTAGTTTCTTCATCTGCAAAATGAGGATAATAATAGTACCCACTTCAAAGGGTTGTTGTGAGGATTACATGAGTCAATATTTGTAAGCTACAAAGAAGAGTGTCTGGCGCACAGTAAGCACTATATAAGTGTTAGCTGTTAGTGTTGTTAGTACACATGAAATAATTAAAATATAGTAAAGAAAAGCACACATCTATACCACAGAACACAGCATAGACAAGTGCTACTAGGTTGCTGTAGAAAATAAGTTATCCAATAGGCTGAAGTTTCTGGGAAAAGCCTTGAGGAAGAGCTGGGATTGCTGACTCGAAAGATTCCAACAGAGAGAAAAATGGAAAGAATTTCACCACAGTACAATAGTACAAACATAGACATAGAGAATAGGTATAGAATAAAGGAAAAGGAGGACTAGAGTTGGCTGATGAACATATTGGTAGATAAGGCTGGAAATGTAGGTTAAGGCCAAATTATGTAGACTCTTTCATGCTGAAGTGATGAATTGGACTTGATTTGATGGATAATGGGGATCCTTTTAGGATCTAAATAGAGAAATGGCATGAGAAGGTAACTTAGGAATATTTCTGCCTGGATGGAATGAAAGAGTATGAGAAGCAAAGCTAAAGAATAAAGAGATTTCTATTTTTGCCCCTAGGGATGAAGAAGGGAACTTATTCATGTGTCAATGTACTTCAATGATCTTATACACTTTTTAATATATAGTGCTATTTCATAAAGCCGATGAGGAGCAAATGAGATAACATGTGTGAAAGCACTTTATAGGCTAAAAAGCACTTAAAAAGTGCCAGTACCACTATCATCATAATTGCTATAAAGGAATTTTTTTCCAAACTTTAAGAAGAAAAGTACTACCTTAACAAAATGTTCAGATATCATGGAGTAATTGCCAGTATTTTTTATAAAAGAAAAAAGGGACTGGTTCAATATCTGTACAGCTAACAAAAATTTAAATATGTCACCATTGAGTCAATCAATCTCATGCCAGAAGCCATCTGGGAAACTCCTCATTCCATTATTAATAAACTATTTCTTAGGTACGTACGCCCTACAATTCTCCATAAGGGAGGCACAAAAGAGATGCATATAGAAGCTGGCATTTTATAGTGAAACATGACTTGAAACATGTGGCCAGTGACAGAGAACCAAGAATGAAAAGATCAGGACTATGATTAAACCACAGAAAAATGTACATGGATCCATATACCTTACCACAGTCCTAGCATCACTGAAGAATGAGGATGGCTCCACCTGGATAGAGATGATATTCTACGTAGATGACAAGACACTTCATTGACCTTCTTAACACACCTACAAAGATGAAACCCTGCACAGAGAACTTGCCCATTTGGGTTGCCAAAAAAGTAATTTCAGTCAGTCAAAACACAATAATACGCGAGCTAGAGAGGAGTATTGTATACTAGAAAGAGCCTTGGCTTTGAAACCAGAAGACCTGAGTCCAAATTCTGACTCTATCACTTTCTAGCTGAACATTCTTGAACAATTCACTAAATAAGTATTCCTAAACCAAATTCAACTGTATGAACCTCAGGCTTTCCAATTGGTAAAATGCACTACACCTTACAGTGTTTAAATTACCAAATCAAAATGTGAAAGCACTTTGTAAACATCTCTACACAAATGATAATTTACAAGAATGATAATTATCATCTTAAGGTCAGAAGCCAGCAGAGGATCCTGAAACATGCTTACTTGTAACTTGATTATTCCTTTTGAGAGCCATGAGAGCTTCATTTTTGTAGGTATACCACCTGGATTTTGTATTGATAGGATATAAAACGTTGAAGTATTCCCTCTTGAGGATCAGAGGTCAAGCAACAGATATATTACAGCAGAGAGTAGGGAAAAAAAAGTCAGCCTCACACGAATCACAAAGACTCTCAACGTTGACTATGCCAAGTCCTTGGGAAATTCTGTGATTTATCAGCCCCAGGAGACTAAACTTCACATATGAAGTTGTCAGAGAATGGTAGATTAGTGATAAGTAAATTAGGGAGGAACTACTTTTGATTTGATCTCATTAATAGCTATATTCCCTTTCCTATTAAGAGGAACAGCTGTCAATGAAGGAAGATGGCAGCAGGAAATTAGTAATCTAATAAATACGGTTTCAATAACTACCAGAATATGCTATTTGAAGTGGCTAATAACCTCTTAAAAGAACTATGAAATAATACTAACGAGTACAAGCTCAAAGATCCTCAGATTTTGAAGAATTTCTTTCTTTTTTTAGGTGATATAAACTTCATGAAGTGAACAGTCTCCTTTCAGAGAACTACCTAGAATTTCTAATCACAATCAATCACTGCCCAAATCCATAGCAAAACAAATTCTGATTCATTGATTCTCTCACTAATAAACTGGAGCCCTGAAAATTAACAAAAAGAAATAAAGCAAACACTTACCAACTTGCGAAGTAAGTCATCATTCCTATTGCACTGAGAAAAAATCCAACTTTGGATGGTTTCAGCCACTTTTAACAGGATGCCTCGCTGAAGGAAATAAATGACATTGTACAGGATTATTAAACCACACCCAAACAGCAGAAAAACTTTAAATAACTTGCTTCTAATTAATCAGAATTTTTATCAGAAAAAGAGAGGAAAAAACCATCCAGGTTATATGCTTTGTCAGCGTGTCTCAGCCTCCTTATTAGTTCCCAAATGTACTTGTACATCAGAATCATCTGGGAATTTAGAATTACATTCCTGGGCCTCCACACTAAAGGTTCAGATTCAGTAAGTTTGGAATGAGACCTGAAATCTGATCTTTAAAACGCAGTCAGAAGTTATCTTGATGTAGCCCATTTATCTTGGAAACACTATCTATGTCAACATGATGATGGATTTCAACAAACTGTTGAATGTTCTCAAATATTATGAACATTTCATTCCACAATACTAAGGCAGAAAGATATTTTAATCAATTTTAGAAAAACTGTCTCATGTTGAAATAAAAGTTACATTATTGAATCAACCAAAAATTCAATTTACCTTAATAGCCCATTTCTTGAGCGTGCCAGTAAATGAAGTTTCCACGCATTGAGTGATTACTATATCCCAGGTACTAAAGAAGGGTCATAGGTAGGGGGCTGGCCCAGTGGTGCAGCAGTTAAGAGCCCACGTTCCACTTCTGCGGCCGGGGGTTCACCAGTTTGGATCCCGGGTGCGCACATGGCACCGCTTGGCATGCCATGCTGTGGTAGGTGTCCCACATAAAAAGGTAGAGGAAGATGGGCATGGACGTTAGCTCAGGGCCAGTCTTCCTCAGCAAAAAGAGGAGGATTGGTAGTCATTAGCTCAGGGCTAATCTTCCTCAAAAAAATAAATAAATAAATAAAGAAGGGTCATGGGAACAAAGATGAATACACCTAACTGCTGTTTTCAAGAACTCAGCATAGAAGAGATGGTACAAATAATTACAAACCAATGTAAAGTGTGGAAAAGTGTGGGAAAAGAGGAGGGCAAGAGGAGGTAACACTGGAGCTAAGCCCTAACAGCTGAGTAGGAATTTAACAACAAAGGAGGGAAGAACACTTCAGGCCAGGTAACAGGAAGAATAAAGGAGAGAGCCATGAAAGCACATGCCATAGGGATGGTGGCATAGTTTGGGAAAGCTAAGACCCAAGGGAAGAAGGAAATAGTGATGAAGTTAAAAAAGTTCTCTGAGATGAGTTTTAAAGGACTTTGGCCTTACATGCCATAATAGTTTAGACTTTACCCTGTAGGCTGTGAGGATCTACCACAGGTTTTTACACAAGGAAGTTAAACAATAAAAATCAGCATTTTAGAAAAATAACTGGCAAGAGTGCAGAGGCTGTACTGGCAGGGAATTGCGGTAGCCAAGAAGCATGATTAGGAGGATGGTTAATAGTGCAGCTAAATAAGGATAAAGGCCTGAACTAGGCTAGCAAAAACGGTAATGGATAAAGGTTCGACTTTAGAGACACAGAAGTTGACTTGATACATCACTTAATGATCAAATCAACGTAGGAGTGATGGAAAACAGTAAGATAACTGAGAGGCTGATAATTTGGGAACATAGAAAGAATATTTTGTTTGTTTTGGAAGTGCTGAGGAAAGAAGCTATTTTAGACATGCTAAACCTGAGTTTCCTGGGGCACAAACAGGTGGAAATGTCTAATAAGCATGGAACTCAGCAAAGATGGAGAATGGATGTAAGTGGCCAAAGAGAGCAAGAAAGTAGATGAGATTGCTCAGAGGAAACAGACCAAGCAGAGAAGAGGCCTGATGCTAAAACCTTATGAAAAGAACCTTTAAGAATAATCACAGGATGGGTCCGGCCCCATGGCCGGGTGGTTGAGTTCTCGTGCTCTGCTTCGGCAGCCCAGGGTTTCACTGGTTCAAATCCTGGGTGCGGACATGGCAAAGCTCATCAAGCCATGCTGAGGCGGCATCCCACGTGCCACAACTAGAAGGACCCACAACTAAAAATACACAACTATGTACCCAGGGGGCTTTGGGAGAAAAAGGAAAAATAAAAAATCTTAAAAAAAGAATAATCACAGGAAAAGAAACCAGAAAATGAGACAGAGAATGAATATTCATGGTGAGATAACCAAGACAGACTACTCAATAACTACTTAACCACATTAAAAAATAAAAGTTAAAAAAAGGTAATTAATGCTAATTATTGTTTCATCATGAAATCACCTTATATAAAACATTTGCTTTCCAAAGAAAATAAATTTGCACTTCCCTTCTTGAACAGAATTTGGGGAGGCAATTCTAAAAATATATCCCAAGAAGGAACTAAATAGTACAACAAGTCTTTCTAAAATTTAGCTGCCTCAGATTTAGAAAAACTCCATTAAAAAAAAATACAGCTCCTACTGTTGAAATGTGTAATATGAAAACTAAATAAACTTTCTAGACATGGTAATTTAAAAAAATATCCTCTGGCTACGCTTTTTATTGTTCCTGAATTTCTGAGGGGGTGAAATTTTAAACTCCCATTTTGTTTGTTTCTAAGTTAGTAACAAGATTTCTACATGTAAAAACACCTGTCATAAATGAAAAGGACTAAACACCTACAAAATCCAAGTTTGCACATGCACACAAAAAATAATAGAACAGGTCAATGCCTATCTCCCACCCAAAGACTGTCCCCTGGCTCCTTCATTGTCTTGTCGCCAAGTAATCTCAAATTCAAGTTTTAATCTATAAATAACCTATTACATGTATCTGTAGGTTTTGCTTTCAAAACTCTTCCCAGGAACATGCATATTTGAAAGAAGCAAGGAGAAGAAAGAGTTTAAGTATTACATAGGAAGAGCAAAACTGGTTCTGACCTTTGTGAGCTCTACCTCTCCTAACTTCCACCTTGCGGGTGTCAGTCAAAAAAAGATTTCTCTGGTGTTTACTCTGCTCTTGCAAATGGGCCCAAGTAGGTTACCTCACATTTTAGGTGTTTTTCTAAGAAGATGGGAGAAAAGATCGTCACCTCTCTATTAACAGAGTAAATCACTAATTGAAAACTTTAAAAGCCTTCTCCTGGAAGTAATTGAGTCTTGTAATAAAACATTGATTAAACTAGAATGCTCAAAAAATGAGGTAACCTGGTTACATTCTTTCCCATTAAATTAGAATTCCTTTTGTTAAAACTGAAATGTACTGCAATATTGTTTTATTTTAGTAAATATGGCTAATAGAACATAAATGAACCTAGTAAATGCATTTTTTTTAAAGGTATACTTTTTGGTGAGGAAAAGTGGCCCCAAACTAACAGCTGTTGCCAATTTTCCTCTTTTTTTTTTCCTCCCCAAAGCCCCAGTACATAGTTGTATATCCTAGCTGCAGTTCATTCTAGTTCCTCTATGTGGGATGAGGCCACAGCACGGCCTGAGTGGTGTGTAGGTCCACGCCCAGGACCCAAACCAGCTAACCCTGGGCTGCTGAAGTGAAACATGCAAACAACACCTGGGTGGTTAAGGCCGGCCCCTAGTCAATGCACTTTATAGAACATAATTAATAGAGATTCTTCAACTATCTAAGCATCACCACGCTGCACATCAACTATGAGATATTTACTGTATAAAAATATATAATACTGCAGATACAAAGGGCATCAGAAATTGAGGTAAATATACCCACTCTATCACATACCCTTGAAACTGTGTATGAAATACCCTATCAATTTGCTTTCTTATAATTTGTGCTCTCTTAAAAAAAATATTTAAAGAAAAAAATTCCAGTTAACATAGGAGTCCTAATAGTTAGGTTCTCACTAAGGTTTTAGTATGTTTTTCTAGTTCCCTCTGGATAATTTCAATATTTAAATAAATAATATATTTTAATCCTCAACCATATTCATTTCCATTCATTATAGAAATTACCCATGAGAGAGTAGGAAACAGCAAGGATTCATGTTTATCTAAACAGACAGTTTTGTACTAGTGATGAAATAAAAAATAAAGTCTTAGTGTCGGGGAGGACATGAAAGTGCTTACAAGGCATTTTGCTTTTGCTTTTTGCAAGGGTAATGGTAAAGGCAGTTTAATCACTAAGGTAAAGATCAAGTCAGAGAGAATGGGCATGCTTTCTTACTTTTGGCAGGGCTCTTGTAGGAGGCTTTTGTTGTCCCTCTGTCACTGTGCATTTTTCTGGCTTTGGTGACAGAGAAGAACATATTTCAAAGTCTGTGTGTCCCAGATCCTGTAAGTACTGGTAAAGTGGAGAATTCTGAAAGAGACACATAAAACAAAGCAAATTTCAAGATCATTACTATTTCATAAGTTATAGAGGCTAAATTCCATACTGAATTTCATTACCAAACTCAACTATCACGACCAGTATATCCAAACTCTGTAGAGCTTCTTCTATAAAGAACTGAATTATCTGTCACTTAACTTTAATGCCATTTAACATTTAAAAAAATCAACAAACAATTCAAGAGAGGGACCCAAAAAAGGAAAAACTAAATAAAACACACAGACATTTTTGGAGTGAGTACCAGTTAGAAAAAAATGAATTTAGGAATATAAATAGATTTGTTGAGCAACTTCTTTGCCCACATTTTTGTAGTATTAGAACAGATTGCTTCAAAATAGCCAATCCTGGCTATAGACAGCGCCTAAGAGTAAAAAACAGTTACTGTATTACTTGAAGCTAAGAAGAATTAAGAATGATTGCATTGTATTAATTATAATTTTATCATACCATATTAATTCATTCAAGCTCAAATATGTATACAAACTTAAAACTCCAAGAAAGTTACCTAAGATAACCTTACGTACAAGCATATGGCAAACGAGGGATGGTGTAGTAACAAAAGCATTAGAACGCCAGGGTTAAGAATAGAAACTCTGGAGCCAGACTATAGGTTCAAATCCCAACTCTGCCTCTTTTTTTTTTTTAAAGATTTTATTTTTCCTTTTTCTCCCCAAAGCCCCAAGTACATAGTTGTGTATTTTTAGTTGTGGGTCCTTCCGGTTGCGGCATGTGGGACACCACCCCAACATGGCCTGACAAGTGGTGCCATGTCCGAGCCCAGGATCTGAACCGGCGAAACCCTGGGCCACTGAAGTGGAGCACGTGAACCCAACCATTCGGCCACGGGGCAGGCCCTCTCCCTCTGCCTCTTACTCTGGCAATTTATAATCCTTCTATTCTTCAGCTGTTTCATCTAAAAATAGGAATAATAATAACACCTAGTTCAGAGGGTTCTTATGAGGACTGCATAAATATAAAGCACTTAAAACAGTCTCTGGCACACAGTAAGCACTCAATTTATACTTCAACTTTATATAATCTATGTGGAAAGAGCACAGATTTTGAAACAGACCAAAAAAGTCACCCCAACCCCATCAAAAAGAAACATCAAGCTTTAATTTTAATGTTTAGCCTTCTCTAAAGCACAAAGTTGGTGAGGTGTTTAAAAATAAATCTTGGTTCCACTCAACAAAATATTTAATACTTTAAAAAGACATTATGTTAGCTGTTAGAATAAAAACAAACACCAAAACACCAACAACAGCAACACAGCTGCATAGTACTTAACTAAGCATTTTACACGCATCATCTCAGCTAAGGTTCACAACAAACTCTAAAAGGTATTACCATCATCATCATTACTATCGTTATTCTCATTTCACAGATAAGGAAACAGATTCACTCAGCTAGAGAAAGCAGGACAGGTCTGACTCCAAAACCAGCACTCTGAAACATTACACTATACCACCTAAAATTACAAACAGTCCCTCCTGTGTCTAGATAGCAAGACACCAACAAAGCTTACCTATAGTGTAGTACAGAGACACCAAGCAAATTAATAAGTACAGGAATGCACTGGTTGCTATGGAAACAAAGGAGCAGCAGCTAACCTAGACCAATACTTTTAGGGAATCTTTCAGTTTGGAAAAACGAGGAAGTGTGAGAATTTGCTGGACTGGTAGCAATTTGCTTGCTATCAATTTGAGAGACCAGGAAGATGAGTCAATGCCTCCTGTTTAAGCTATGTTTAATCTCTTTTGAGAAAAATATACGAAAATTTATAATATGAGGAGGAATTATGTTTCTTATCTCTCTACGAGACATAAAATCTCTAATGGCATAAATGGTTAATCTTTTTATCACCCATAATGTATCTTCAAACATTGCCTTGAACAATCGCCTTGTATTTTCAAACTGAACAGTGAACCCCACCCTGCTCTGCCCCCAGAGTGGCAAAAGAGGAAGAATGCTAGTTTGTTTGGGCTGACCTTTTGAAAAGTTTACATACCTTAAGAAAAAACACATGTTTTTAAGGCACTAGAACCCTTTCTTCAAATGAACTCCAGTGGGGAAGAAAAATAAATAAGATGGATCAAAGTGGAGTTAGTCTAATTCAAGGGTCGTCAAACTTTCTCTGTAAAAGGCCAGATAGTAAATATTTTAGGCTTTGCAGGCCATATGGTCTCTGTCACAACTAACCAACACTGCTGCTGTAGCCTGAAAGCAGCCACAGACAATACATAAACCAATGAGTGTGGTTATGTTCCAAGAAAACTTTACTCACAGAAATACTGAACTTCTTATACTTTTCATGTATCACACAATACCATTCTTTTGATATTTTCTCCAACCATTTAAAAATGTAAAAACCAGGCCAGCCCCGTGGCAAAGTGGTCAAAGTTTTGCGTGTTCCACTTTGGCAGCCTGGGGTTTGCGCGTTTGGATTCCTGGTATGGACCTACACCACTCATCAGCCATGCTGTGGAGGCATCCCACATACAGAGTAGAGGAAGACTGGCACAGAAGTTAGCTCAGGGCTAATCTTTCTCCCTCAAGAAAAAAAAAAAAGAGGAGGGTTGGCAACGGATGTTAGCTCAGGGAAAAAATAATAAAAATTAAAAAATTAAAACATAAAAACCATTCTTTCCTCACCAGTCATATAAAAATAGGCACAGAGTGGGACAAATCTGGCCCACTGCTGACTCCTGTTCTAATTAAAGACTCAATTGAGATCATGAGGCACACTCTTGACTGCTAACTGTTCTCTGGGAAGAGGCTCGGCGGGTGGATGGATGGGGTCAAACTTCTTTTTATTTAAATTGTAATGCCTTTTCTTACTGCATACGTAGCTGATGCTGTGTCAGCACTGACCCCAATGCCCCTTCCTTTTCCAGTTTATGTCACAGCTCACAAAGTAACAAAATGGAATATCTGTAACATTGATTCTCTTGTAAGTGATTAAACAGAAGAGAAACAACGAATACTCTGTTCTCCGTATGTTTTGCACATCAACTAAGAGCATACATACTCAGTTTGGATCACCATAATCTGCAACACTTGCTATGTCATATTTCACAAAAACAGCAGCATTAATTGTTTACCTCATACACTACTGATAATGTCTAACAGTATCATTTGATACAGTAATTCTACCAGTAGCTTAATTCTGTCTCTTCTCCAAACGTAAACTTTTCACTAACTTTTTGGGTGATTTCACAAGCTTCTTGTCAGAGGTGTGACATATTCATTTGTGCTATGCAACGACAAATGATGCCTTAGTAGTTCTGTTTTCTTCATCTTCAGTGACAGAATTCATCATTTTCATCACTGTTTCACGCCCTATTTTACAGTTCTGGAAAATGGTGGCTTCCCATGACCATCACCATGCTTTGTTTCACGGCTTTATGTAACTATTTGACAAAATTTCAGGGTAGATAACCTTTGGAGACTAGAGATGAAGGTACTACAGGTATGATAAAATTTAATTCCAGTCTTCATCATATTTCATATTTGTACTTTTCTCTTCTTGGCTTTCAATGCAAATCATATCACTTTCTAACACAAACTCAGACTGTATGAACACTAAAGCTCTATTCATTATGTCTATGATAGTATTCTGAGTTGTAGCATTTATTTCACTGTTTTATTTCTACTTTCATGCTTCAATCACCTTTAAGCCAAAATAAAATTTAAAATTTAACCAATGATAACACACAAATGAAAACAAACATCCCTTGGTTAACAAACTGAACATGAGCCAAGATGAACTGACTGAGACAGACCTTGTAGCACATGAGCAATTTTGAAGAATGCAAAGGGATTTTTAATGAAATTATTTTACATTAATTTAAAAAAATGTTTTGGGATAAAATTACTATCACTTTTTCTCTGAAACTGCAACTGGCCCATGTACTATTTGATAGCTCTCAGAAAACCACATCATGACCAGTGGTGCTCAAATGTTTTTAGTCTCAAGATTCTTCAGGTTCTTAAAAATTACTGAGGATCCGAAAAAGCTTTAGCTTATGTGTATACCTAATGATATTTATCATATTAGAAATTAAAACTGAAATTAGAAATAAAAACTGAAAAAATTTAAAACATTTATTGATTTACTGCAAATAACAATAAACTATTGTTTATTACATTGCAATATTAATGTAAATAATTTTAATGAAAAAATGTATTGAGAAAAGTAGATTGTTTGACATTTTTGCAAATCTCTTTACTGTCTGGCTTAATAGTACATCTGCTTCTTCATTGAATCTGCTGGAATTTATTGTTTTGGATGAAATATATAAAGAAAGTTAGGTAAGTTCAGCATGCTCTGCTTGAGTGGCCCGGGTTCAGTTCCTGGGCACGGACCTACACCATTCATTGGTGGCCATGCTGTGGTGGTGACCTACATACAAAATAGAGGAAGACTGGAAACAGATGTTAGCTCAGATAGTTGGAAAGGGAGGAGTATTTTAATAGTCTTTTCTTACAATTGTACTATCAAAAAATAGCCATAACAAAACTTGACAAGAAATAGTTTTGAAAAGGTTAATTTTAATGTGGAATATGAAACCATACGAATAAGCTTATCATACTCTGTGCATGCACAAGAGGATGAGAGTAAAAAAGGCAAACACTGTCTTAGTATTAAAATGTGATCACCCAAATCATTTATTTTTAGTTTTTCTTTTACAGCAAGCTAAGCCTCCCTATTGTAACAGCCCTAACCACTATATTTGGAGGTTTTGGGCTATTAGGCTTATAAACTCATACAAAGAAATTTCTCTGCTTCATAGAGTGAGTATTATTATAGGTTGATGGCAGCTTTAGAAAGGTACGTTTTGGGGAGGATAGCAGAGTAGGCAGTGATAGGTAATTTGTTATAACTTTTTCCCTTGGTTCAAGCAAAATAGAACCACAAGTGTTTCAGTAAAGTTGTTTTCTTGAAGAGAAACTGTTAGCACTGGACTCAAACTATAATTTTGTAGTGTTGGAGAATGTGACTGCTGCCAAAAGAAACACGAGAAACCTCAGACACAGCATACGGGAGCTTCTCCGCAGGAAATCCTTGTGGTTCACTATTCCTGTAAATTTTAGCTGACAGAAAACACCCATCATAGCACCAGAAAGAATTTTGCTAAACGAAAGATAGCCAAGAGTCTTTGGTTGTGCTAAGATTGTTCTGATGGCTGAAACATACTTCTGCAAGAAAAATAAACAAAAACGGACAGGAAACCCCTACATTTTTGCTGAATAAGCACTTCAAGAAAATGACTCATTTATGTCCTACACCACCTGCACTTCATGCCCCCCATTAAAGATAGCAGATCTCACACTAATGGATATATAAAGTTTGAACCATTCATTTAATGTATTGTTTATTTTCTGCATGATTTATGGTCATTCTGTTGAAATGTCAGTACCATTATTGCTGGTTTGCATTTAAAAAGGAAGATTACCTAGTGTAGAAATGGAGATGATGGGTAAAATGCTTTTATTATTAGGTTCTCTCTTCTAAACTGCTTTAAACCCTTACAGATAGAACAAGTTGTAACTCTTCAAGTTCTAGCTTAGAGAGGGAAGAATAGGCCAAACAAGGCAGAATTAGGCAACTCATTCAATAATAAATACTAACTGAACATCTTCTACATGCCAAGCAATATTGAGGCACAGGGGAGAAAAAAAATCAAAACAGGTGACATCCTTGCTAAAAAGTTTCATTCTGTGATACTTCTCATAAGACCATGGTATACCTGGTTTTCAAAAGTATCAAGGAAAATACTGAGTAGTCTGATACTTTCCAAGTAGGCTGCTATGTTTCAGGAAAATTCTCTCTTGGTCTCAGCTTAAGTACAAAATAAGAATGCTATGCGGCTCTTAAACTTGTTCAGGTGGTAAAACAAACCTCATGACGTTGTTGCAGAAATAAGATAAAAAAGTGGTATGTTTAGGGGCCGGCCCGGTGGCGCAGCAGTTAAGTTCGCATGTTCTGGTTCGGATCCCGGGTGTGGACGTGGCACTGCTCGGCACGCCATGCTGTGGTAGGCCTCCCACATATAAAGTAGAGGAAGATGGGCATGGATGTTAGCTCAGGGCCAGTCTTCCTCAATAAAAAGAGGAGGATTGGCAGCAGATGTTAGCTCAGGGCTGATCTTCCTCAAAAAAAAAAAAAAAGCGGTATGTTAAAATACAGACTATTGTGCTGAATCAAATGACACCTTTACCCTATGCAATCAGCCAAATCCAGAATATGGAAATTCTACAGATCAAATCACCCAGCTTCTTCAACTAATAAATGATATAATAAAGGTGGAAGAGGTGGAGAAAACTGCTAAAGACTAAAGGGACATATTACCCAAATGTGATGTATGGACTTTGTTTGAATCCTGGTTTGAACAACTATAAGACATTTTCGAGATACTCAAGGAAACCCAAACACAGACTAGGTATTAGACGATATTAGAGAATTACTATTAATTTTATTAGATAATTATTTGAAGTTAGCATTTTTTTTAAAAAAGAGGGTATTTGTCTGTTAGAGATGCACACTAAAGAATTTACAGGTGAAATTAGGTAATATCTGGGATTTACTTTGAAATACTCCAAGAAAAAGGGTGGGAGTGGGAGAGGAATAGATGAGACAGTTTGGCAAAATGTTAACAGCTGCTGAGGCTGAAGCTGGGTGATGGGTACATGGAGCTTTCACTGTATTATTCTCTCTTTCTATGTATAACTTTTAAAGTACATTATAAAAGTTTAAAGAAATCAGATGCTAGATTTTCCTAAAATCTAGTAATAAAAGATTTAAGAAAATAATATGGCAGAAAATGCAAAATTGAGAAAATTCAACTTATTTTAATCTGGGAAAAAGACAGGTTTATTGAACTTAAGAACACTCAAATCTTTACAAACTTCCATGTAACGATAGTAGTACTTTAAATATCTACTGAAAGAGAATATGACAAAAAGAAAATGTTCATTTAGTAACATCTTTCAATGAATTTGTGAGTTAATCACACAAGTATAGTATATATAGTAGGCGCTCAATAAATACTAGTTGGTTAGTGATAAATGGACAAACAATGACTGCTATGTAACTTTCCCTTTCTTCAACTAGTATAACGTGCACACGATCTTTTATGTATCCATAAAAATATTCAGATAATCCTGGGCAAATATTTGGACTTGCAAACTTCCTGCAATAATGCCCAGGCCACTCAATACTCCTATTAAGGACAACAAATGTCAAAGGTACCCTGTAGCAACAAGATTTCAAGTTACCAGTCTCACTGGCAGTACAAATAAATGGCTAATTACCTATTAACGTCAATTATTCATATTTAATTTCTACAAACTAATGTAGTTTGTGGAATAAGCAATTTTCAATTATGTGATTGTTGGAGCCATGTTTTTAAAATACTGTTAAGCAAGATAATTAAAAACAAAAACAACATTACGCTCCTATAGAGGAGTAGTTCTCAATCAAAATAGATTTTGTCCCATCTCCCCACTCTGACATTTGGCAATGTCTGAAGACATTTCTGGTTGTTATAACTGAGGAGCGGAGGGACTGGCAACCAATAGGTAGAGGTCATGGATGATACTCAACATCCTACAATGCGCAGAACAAGCCCCACAGTTATCCAGCTCAAACTGTCAATAGTGCTGAGGTTGAGAAACGCTGTTTTAGGGTATATGGAATCATATATTGAAAAAAATTCACAAAAAATAAGTAGCCCAGTAGCTGCTTTCATTCTTTACATTTTATTTTGGGAGAATAATGGATTCAAAAAGCAAAAACAAAAATGGAAAATTAGTTATTTTTCCATAACTTGCAATCTAAAAACTTAACGGGCTTTCTAAGATTGAAATCAGTTACCTTCAAAATAACTGCAGCAGAGTTTATGCATTAAAATTTTAACCAGCCATCAATATTATATAAAACCAAAATAATTACAGCACTTGCTTACATTTGAAGATTATTTTCAAATGAACTTCATGCTCATCTAACTGAACTTGTTTTCCTAAAACAATTTCCTTATTAAAAAATTTCTGTTGGGGCCTCAATATAAGAAAAGAAACATACATCTGACTAACTGGGACACATACGAAAACTAGGAAAGGAAGATATCTAAATAAATTTAGCTTCTTCCACAAATGGCATCTTACTGAGTGATTTCCTTTTAGTTACTGGCACACTTCTGTCAATGCTATAGGCCCACATCCAAGCACCAGCATAAGGCTAAGAAAAAGCCAGCAGAATCCTAGATGCTCTTTTCACACTAACCCTGGTGCACCCTCTGGACTCTCTCCTTCTCTTTCCCAGAAGAGCTCCTGTAAGAGCTGTATACCCTTTTAGAAAAGCAATCTGTAGTCTGCAACAACTACTGCCCAAATTCTCATTCTGGTTCCTCACAGACTATCTGCTCTGTCTTCCTGATGCCAATCAGTGAGTGGTAACAGCATTCCACCAGAAAAATCATTTTGGTAGAAAAGGGGAAAGTCAAATGGCAATCATCATTTGTCCATTTATCACTAACCAAATAGTGTTTATTGAGCACCTACAATATATATTTTTAAAATAAAAAATTAAAACAGTACAAAAAGATATAAAATGCAAAATTACTTTCTTTATCCTACCCCTGACCCCTACTCCCTCTGCCAAAATGTAATGAACATTCTTTAGTTTGCGAATCTTTCCCCCTAAATTTAGTATCTGTTTATGACTGAAAGTGGTTGGCAGTGGAGAGGCCAAGAGGACTTCTAGGTTTCTGGTTTGAACAATTAGGTGGTGCTACTTACTGAAAGAGAAAATATTGGCAGAGCAACAAGTCTGAAGAGGGAGGCAAAGAGAGATGCCTGTGAGATATTCAAATGTGAATAACTTAGACCTAAAATATATGGTGATCTGGAGAGTGGCCTAATCTGAATGTATAGATTTGAGTTTTTAGCAAAGAGGTATGATGGCAAACTAGTATGGTAGCATATAGGTATAGAAACATACGGAGTAGATGAGAGCAGCTAGAGATAACAAATAGTGTGAGAAAACAAGAGAGCCCTAAGAGAGATCAATAAATATTCATTCATTCATTTTTTTTTTTTTGGTGAGGAAGATTGGCCCTGAGCTAACATCTGTTGCTAATCTACCTCTTTTTGCTTGAGGAAGACTGTCCCTGAGCTAACATCCATGCCAATTTTCCTCTATTTTGTATGTGACATGCTGCCGTGGCACAGCTTGATGAGTGGTGTACAGGGCCAAACCCACGAACCCTGGGCTGCTGAAGAGGAGTGAGTGAACTTAACCACTATGACAGTGGGCTGGCCCCTGAGAGATCAATATTTTAGAAAAGAGTAGAACCTTTGCTGGAAAATAGTAAGAGTAACAACAAAAATAGTAAGCATTTCTTGAGGTGCTTATATGTTAGGCATTAAGCATATTTTCTAATACCTTACTTACTTCTAACAACAAACTTCTAAACAGGTCTTAATACTATTACTCCTATTTTAGAAGGAAATTGGGGCATATGGAGGTTAAATAACTTGTCCAAGGTCACTCAGTAGAATGTGAAGCTAACTAGCCTGAGTCTAAAACCTACACCCTTAACCATGACACAAAGTAGCCTCTTTAAGGGAAAAGCAGATCTAGAAGGAATAACCAAGTTTTCTCTCTCAAGTTCGTCTTATTATTTTAAAATATAGGTTATATCATTTGGGTGTGGTGAGGCCAACAGATCAGTTCAACTGGCACTGAAAGACTGTTGATTATACTCAGATTCCAAGGGAAGGGGGCAATCCATGCCCCGGGGGCCGGCAGAGCACAGAGGCAGCACAAGGAGGGAGAGAAAGAGGAGAAATGATGAGCAAGAGCCTTTACTGTGGTTTTTGTGTGAAGGAATGGGCAAGGCAAGGTAAACAGGCTTAAGATTGGCTAGTCTGAATAAATTGAGTAGGTTCTGGAGCATAGGGGCTGTCCTTAGTAGCGTCTGGCACCTGACTTTGGGAGGATTAGGGCAGGTAAATACTGGCCAGGTGAGAAATGCACATCCAGGTGAGTAGTTTACTATCTCTTAGGAATTGGCTGACCCTGGGAGGGGCAGTCACTCCAGGATCAGCAAGGCCCCAAGATGATAAATGCATCAGAATATAGAAAGTAAAAGACATGGTTAATATACTTATATATCAGATCGTATATTCTGTAAGGTCCAAAATGCTGACCCTGCATGGTGTAATTTTTAATTCAATCACATTAAAAAAAATCTTTTCTCTCTTCAGGTTGTTCTCATCTCAAATGATTCCTCTTTCACTGGCGGCTTGAAGTTTCATAGAACTACACTCTCTTCAATCTGGAAACACAAATCTGGATTTTTTTTTTTTCCTGTGAATATATTTTGGAGTGGTTCAACTCCTCCAAACCTTCACAGAACTAGTGTTCCTATGATCTACAGACTCAACGATTTTTCTGTTTCTTCATCCTTAAGAGAGTTCTATATTTATTAGCTGAGTTAAAGTAGCAATTGGGAATAATTCTGGCAGAAACCAGAGGGAAATTTTCAGGTATAAATTCAAAGAAAAATAGTCAAAAGGCAGTAGATTACCAATCTACTAGTCTAGTAGTCACCAAGGCTAATAGAGCCATAGCAGGCCCCAAATGAACAAGATCACACACACAAAGTATTCCAGTGCTGCACTTTCCCACAGGCTATGGGGCCATAAGTAGTGGGTGTCTGGATATGGCCCTTGACCTGCTTCGTGTGCCCATTTCTTAGGTTACAGCAGTGATTACCTCTGGTTTGGAGATGTCAGTGAAGCCTGCTAACTCTGTTTGAGTCTACCCAGATGTACCTTTTCCTCACAGAAGGATGGTCCGTATAGGTTCCCAACTGCTTGGCCGATTCCGTCCCCGCCAATTCCTCCCCAAACGACAGCAGCACCAAACATTTTACTGAGTATCCACACGTGCCAGGCACTGTTCTAAGCAGCTTTATGTGCGAACTCACCTCATCTTTACAGTAACCTAATGAGGCAGAGGTCATATAAGACAAGAGGAATCTAAGGAATAGAGAGACCAAGTAACTTAGCCAAGGTCACAGACAGTAAATTACAGAGCTAGGATTTGAACCTAGTCAGCCTGACAGAGCTGAAGCTGGTATTTTACTCCAGTACATTGTGAATAACTTAGAGTAAATAAAGTCATTAACTTGGTCTAATATAGTATTTTGTATAGTTTGTGTATTTTTTTAACCAGAAACTGGATTTGTAATTTTAAAATTTATTTAACAGATTAAGTTAGAAAATTCAAAATAGGTCAGCCTAAGTCTTCTGATAATATGTGCATTTATTCCTAATCATTTCTGTTTCAGATGAGCGATAATTCATATATATTTGCCTCAGATTACACAAGCCTAGAAAGAGGCTGTAAAGAATCTTGGGACTATAACAACAATAGTATTCTATTCTTACAGACTATTTTCAAGTCCGGCTCATTGGGCTTTTAAAACAACTCATGCCACTGGAGAGAAAATCTAGCTAATATGTGACAAAACTAATTTCTTTAATTTATAATAAGCCCATATAAACGAATTAGAAAAAGATTTAAAAAAATGCAAAAACGGGCAAAAGATACAAAGAGGTAGTTCAAAGAGAAAAAAATATAAAAATGAGTGCATACAAATGAAAATATGTTAGACTTCATCCTTCACTGAACAAGCGCAAATTAAAAGAAAGATATAATTTTTATCTGGTGGTTGGCAACAATTAAGAAGTCTGATCATATTTAGTGTTGGCAAGGGTGTGAGGACACAGAGACTTCATAACACTGTTAGTGGGAGTACATCTATAAAAATATAAATGTATATATCCATTGACCGAGCAATTCCACTAGGCATCTATTCTACAGATATGACTATAAAAGTGTGCTTAAATATACATAGAGGAACACTGAGCGGGGCCGGCCCTGTGGCCGAGTGGTTAAGTTCACGGCTCCACTGCGGCGGCTCAGGATTTCGTCGGTTCAGATCCTGGGCGTAGACATGGCACCGCTCATCATGCCATGCTGAGGAGGCATCCCACGTGCCACAACTAGAAGGACCCACAACTAAAAATATACAACTGTGTACCGGGGGGCTTTGGGGAGAAAAAGGAAAAATAAAATCTTTAAAAAAAAAAAAGAATACTGATTACTATAACCATTTAAGAACCCCATTTACATTTTTAAAAGTCAAATTATACAATATTTCTGTGTCCTACACACATATATTAGCACATATGTATATATGAATCTAATTGCACTGAAATGATCTGGAAGAAAGCTGATTACAGTGGTTACTTCTGGGGAGAAACAGGGGATTAAGGGAAGGCTGATGCTTTCCCTGTATTATTAGACTTTTTGAAGTAAGAATATATTCACGTGTTATTTGTGCAGAAAAAGGTGCCCAGCAGAAGGCCTGGTAAGAAAGGTGTAGGACTGTTAGCTTAGCAAAAGAACAGAATGATCATGTACACTTTTCTATATCAAAACTAATGATCTACTCAACTACTACAGTTTCTTTATTTAAAACGTCAGACTGTATCAAAGCCGTATTATTAGGCCTGGAAAAATGCTAACTAATGTCAGATGTCAGATGTTATTTGATCTCTGCAAGTCTATATTAAAACACAAAAAGCAACAGGAAAATGCAGTCAGCTACTGACAGAAGGCAGTAGGAGGCAGGAAGCATTGGCACAGACACCTGAAGCCGTGAAATGTAAAGGACCTTCGTTAATGAAGACTTCACACCTACATAAATCTGTGCTTACCTAGAAGCCTTTGATTTCCATCCCCTTCTTAAAAGAATTTACGAAATCACTTACAGGTAATTTTTATTTAAAAATTTGTATCAATTTTTAATTTCTTCAGGAAAAAAGTACCATAATGAAAGTTATATATTTTTAAAAGTTTCTACCATGTCAATAGAACCTCTAAAATATCTTTTATCCAAAACAAAATCTTTAAAGAAAGAGATATCGTAGTTATAAGGATTTGATGGAGACTGTCTGGGAACAATTATTTATCAGCTATTTAAAATATTTTAAAAATCTTTTATCTTTGAATATAGCTTAAAGCTATAGGTCTAAATATGATTATCCCATACAGAACAGCAATTTTTCTTGGAAAATATGATTGAAAAGAATGAACTCCCATTGTCAATTGCTATGATTTCCTTATTTTTTTTCCACGCTAACTACAGAACACCATAAAATAAGCTGATGAGGAAGACTGTCATTACTAAATTACACAAGGTAGCTATTTTCTCTATTTTTAATGAAGAAGCCTTTGGTATATATAGAGCTAAAACTTTTACAATTAACAAAACCCTACAAAGGAAAATAAACTTCCCCATTACTATTCATTATATTGCCAATATACTATAGAATTTTCACATATCTTTAATCAGTCCACAATCAGAATGTATAATCTGAAAATAACTACTTATTGCCATCCTACCCCACCCTAAACCTTGGACAATATCATAAAATAGTATCTTGCAAAAATAAAGATACTATAAAATAATAGGAAACACTTTTTGGAGTTTACACATTTTAACATAACTTCTAAATTACTATTCCAAAAGCCCCAAAGCCAAGTGTTAATTTAATTGTTCCTCAGTATCAGCAAAAGAAAATCTAATCAAAGAATTCAAAAAGATTAAGCAAGCTAAAAAGGGTTATAAAAATTGGTCCAACTAATTAAACTACTCACAGACAGCATAGTTCTAATTTCTCCAGTTGACCTAGATGAAAGATTTACTGCCTCTTGAGCATATTCTTTTGATCCACACACTTCTTTCTTTGATGGTTCCCACTTGTTTCTCCAGGAGAACTACACTACAAAATGGCCACTGAACTGGAGGGCGTGTCTTCATCATTACTAAGCATTTTCCTATGAGAAGCAGCTCTTTGAAAAAACCTGACCATAATTTCTTCAGTGCCACTGTATTACTCGGTAATTGCAGAAGAAGTAATAAGGAGAGTGGGGTTTTTAAAATATCTTTAAAGGATATTACTTAATATTTGTGCTTACTTAAAAGTTTATTTAAACCAGCAGCAGGTAAATTTTTCTGGTTGTAGGTTTCCAATATTTTCCAAACGAAATGCATCCTATCCAATTAATCTTACATGAAACATTATAAACAAGAAAAAGTTTTAAAAAGGGCAACTTTAAATTTTTTCTATACAATAGTACAAATGTACTTAAGTACAATAGTATCTTATGCAAAGGGAGAAGTGCAAAGGGAGAAAACTGACACACACAGCTTATACACACAACTGACTAAAAAAGCAACAGTGACTTGGTCTCAACTAAGGCAAGAAGATAGCAATGGCGGGGTGAGCTCTCCCTGGGTCTGATGCTACCCTTAATATCATTCAATATATGGGTAATCAACTGGCATATATCGGGCACTTACTGAATGTAGAGCAGAAGCAAGGTAAGGAAGTAAAACTATCATTTTCAATTGCTTTAGGAAAAATTAGAGCCAGGTCAAACACTGGCAAAATGGTGGGTGTGAGAAGAGCACGCAATAAACATTAAAATGAGGTTTGGATATTATTGGATCACACCCAAGCTTATTTTCTGTTTTCCTTATCCCAAATAATAATAATAACAAAAGTGGAGACAGAATTTGTGGTTCTATTAAGAGACAAAGGGGAGATCTTTCAGAATGATTCATTATTCCCTTTCATCAGAAAGGGGCAATTAGTAAGGAAAAGAAAAACAACAAGAACAAGGCAAGGTACATACTGAAGTAGAACATCCACTTTAATAAAGGTACTAAAGAGATATGGTTGTGGATTAATCAGCAAAATCCCAACAATAAGATACAGGTGGCCAGATTGTCAGCTAAATAATTACAACATGGATTTAAAAATAAAGGATGTCCTTAAATATATTATTTCAAATAAGACTAATGGCATTTTGATCTGCTGTAGTGGGAATAAAAAGTGTCAGCAGATAATCAGCAGTACTTTAAAAATCCGGAGGCACCGAAGTCAGTGCACTGTCTAACACTGTGCCCCTGTGGAGTACATTGGCTTTGGGCCTTTTCTCCGAAATCCTTAAGGCATGATTTACTTCTGGGAACTCAGGGAACACCTGGTACAGAACCAGGAAAACTAAATTGAGCTAGGGTTTCTGATCTAAAAAGAGACTGGAAATGAGCAGAATCTCTTCCTGTATCTCCTAATTAACCTAAGCCTCTAAGGCCCTACTCTCATTTATTCAACCTACCAGATTCAGGAAAAATGTAATAAGAAAGAACGATTTGGTATATAACTCCTTCCTATAACAAATGAAAGCAAACTTTAGAGAAATTAAATAATTCATTCAAGATATCACTGCTAATTAATGTCAGTCCCTCTATTACTCATCTAGCCTTCTTTCCACATGCTTTTAAAAAATGAAAGTCTTTAGTATAACTACATAAAATACCAAGATAACCATAAAA